GCATTGTGTTATATATAATTCATGGAGACATTTGACTGCACACAGCAGAAGGACAGGAAATGGCCACTTATGCTAATAGGGGTTTTTCTCTTTTAAGGCGGAACTGAGGTAGACGGTCCTTTTTCTTGCCAGGAACCCAGCTTCCTTTTGCGTTTCTGTGTTGTCATCCCCACACAGCCCTCATCAATTTTCTGAGGACTCAGCTGGGCCACCGTAGGCACCATATCCATGTTCTGGCAGCTGCTGAAATTGCATCAGTAGCCCTATTATTCTAGGCTCACTTTCCTGGAAATCTTTCCTGGGAGAATTCCAGTTACCTCATGGCTTAGAAGTGCATCATCCTTAGCTTCAAAGGAACCTGAAATGCTGTTTTCTTGTTTTCAGTTGGACACTTCATTGCTGGAATTTATTCTGATCTTAGTATTGATGGGCAGAAGGCTGAATGCAATTATGAGTGTATATGCAGTCATAGCCATAGCCATCTCCCTTAATCTATGTGGATATATAGATAAAACTCATAACCACGATTGAACAGAGAGCTCATCCCCGTGCTAAAAGGCACTTGAATTTTTCATAGTATCCAAATGAGTCTTCTATAACAATTCATTTGTGTAAAACGTTTGGGATGCAAGACTGGATGACAACATGATGTCAATTATCCCTGGAGGAGGTGGGGCGGGAGGGGTGGTTCATTGGTAAGGTAAAGGGAATTGAATGGCAGGAAGTTTGAAGAAGTTATTTCTTTTAAAGCCATTGGGTAGACTAGGGAAAGGACACTCATTTACTTTGAAACAAGGGGGGGGAGGAGATTCAAACTAAGGGATAAGTAATCTAATAGTTAAATTGGAATGTGCTCACACACGCCACCTGTGCTTTGACAGCAGAAATGGTCACTGCTGTGGCTCCAAGTGCAAGCGTGTGTGTGTGTGTGTGTGTGTGTGTGTGTGTGTGTGTGTGTGTGTGTGTACACGAGCGCATGCTCGGGTGGAATTGGCAGGGGTCAGGACCTGGCTAGATTTTCTTGGCTAAGCTCTTCACAGCAAATCTTTTGTAGCCTTTCACATATCATATAATAGTAATTTAATTTTCATTATTAGACCTATGGCATTCCTCTTGTTTTCTGAGTGTAAATATCATGAGGGAGGTACTCTTTTTTCCTCATGCATGCCACAGTGGAGCCAGAATTTGTTACCCTGTGCAGGAAGGACTAGGGTTCCTGAGTGTCCACCTTAGGTACACTTACATTATCTGCTGGGTTGAAGCCAGGGTCTCACACATGTTCCATATACTCCAGCACTGAGTTTACTCCCCAAAGCCAGGGTTTCATACATGACCCACACACTCCAGCACTTAGCGTCTGATCAATTTTAGTACAATTTCAAGGAAGGCGAATGTGAGTTTGTAGCCACCAGGAAGCTTTATTTTATGATCTCTGCCATCTGGCATGAGTCTTAAGTTGTGTTCACGCTGGCCCTGAGGTAGAATCTAAGGGAGGACATGGTTGTTACCTGTTCATGGCTCAGAAAACTTGCCCCGACCAACTTTGTGGTACTGCAAAGCACATCCATGTTTTCGGCTGCACACCCCTTCCTGCTACAGGCAGACAGTTCTTTTCTCTTAGACACTCCCCCTCGGTCCTCTGAAGACAGTGATGCTGACAGGTAATTCTGTAGGACTTACTGTTGTCGAGCCTCTGTTTGATAAGAGCTGGTACTAACTTGTGGCTGGCTCTCGGTTCCACTGAGGGTTCTGCTTTGTGGTTTGCTGTTTCCAGCTCAGTTCTGGCTACTTTTCCTTTGTCACCTGAGGTCTGCAGGGTTATTATCCTCAGCTCAAACAGTACTGTTCTGCAGAATTGTCCCTGATTTTTTTCCAATTTAATTATATTTCTCACGAAAGTGACAGCCCCTCCCTGCTGTAAGTCTGGCAGGTTGGTAGGAGGCATTGGTAAGTTCTGTTTTACTTCCTCAGTGTGGGGAACCTTACATAGCCCACACCCAGCCAGGACACCCAAGTCCTCTTTGCTTTTCCCAAGCACTTTAGCTTTTCTCAGTAGCTGGGGGATAGCTGCCATGCATTGAATGGGCTGTCTGTGAAATGGGTGTGCCAGCCCAGGGAGGACACTAGCATTCTGTTGTTCACCCTTACTGACTTCTGTTTATTCATTTGTGGTGATGGCTCCAAATGTGAGGTTACAGTGGCCTCGGGATCTCTCTGAAATTACTACATCCTTATCAGCTTTCTGCTCTCAGTTTGTCTTTGTCAGAACTGATAACCATATTTTCTTTGATTTTTCTCCATTATGGCTGATCCTTGGTAAATTTGTTAACAGAGTGGCTGCTGTGTTTCTCTGTTACATAGATGTTTTCCCTAGGCTTTTCCTAGGTCCAGGGCTGACTCTGGGTCCTGGGTAGGACAGAAAGGTTTGTGCACAGCATAAAAGCGGAAGGTCATTGGTAGCCCCCTTGCATGTGTGCACACACCCCCAATCTCAGCCCATTTTATATTGTTAGAAAGGAACGCCCAATGCCCTGGGCCATGTGTATAGGACAGGTTTATTTCTTACAGCTTTGGAGGGTGGGGCCTATAAAAGCTGAAGGACTAGGCCAGCAGCTGACGCAGACTCTCGTGCTGTGTCGTCTGTGGTAGAGCATGAAAGGTGAGACAGAGTAACCCTGGGAGGACAGGCGCCTCCTCTCCAAGTAGCAACCCCACTCCCAGAATAAGAGCATCAGGCCCCGAGCACCTTGTTGAGGTGGGGACTAAGTTCTGACAAATACTCTTTGAGAGAGTTAGCCAGCCATGCGACAGCTGTGCTGAAAGGGAAGAGAATCGTGATTTCATTTCTGTCCGTCCGTCCCACATAAAGCTAGTATTTTGCTTTTATTCTCCCATTCATGTCTTTCATAGAATTCTAGAGTGACCTGATAGTGACATTTGCTTTGGTCCTCAGCCAGGACAGCTACCCCACCCCACGCCCAGAAACCCACCAAAAGAAGGTAGCACACTTCACCCCAGCGCCTCTTAGACTACACATAGCTGCAGAATGCTGCAAGTACTCGAGGCTGGCATCGGGCTATGCTCTCCACTGAGAAAATACTTTTGCAGTCAGTTGTCCTGTGGGTCGCCCTTTTGCCTCTTCTCTTCTTCATTCTGGGGTTGTTTACTTGTTTGAGTTTTTTGGGTTTCTCTTTTGCCTGAAAGCAACGCTGTGTTGTGGTTTTCTTAGGCTCAGGATGCCTGTAACATTACCAACTAGTTTTCTAAGGATTTCTGTATGTTTCTGCGTGTTGGTGGACCACTGTGATGATTCCAGTGCCATTCTGGTTCTGTTATTTTGATTTAGAGACAGGATTTCCCTAAGCCCAGGCTGGCATAGAACTCACTAACCATGGCCTGAGCGCCTCCTGAGCATCCTGCCTCTGCAGGTCATGTCCCGCTTAGATTTGTCCTCATAAAAGTATCCTTTTATCACCAAGTGAGCTGGTGTGGCATGGGTGTGTATGTGTGCATGTATGTGTGTGTGCATGTATGTGTGTGTGCATGTATGTATGTGTGTATGTGCATGTGTGTATGTATGTGTGTGTGCATATGTGTGCATGTGTATATGTGTGTGCGTGTGTGTGTGTGTATGTGTATCTGTGTGTGCATGTGTGTGCACATGTGTATGTGTGTGCATGTGTGTGCACGTGTGTTTTTGTATCTGTGTGTACACGTGTGTATGTGTGTACATATATGTGCATGTGTGTGCACGTGTGTGCACATGTGTAAGTGTGTACATGTACGTGCATGTGTGTGTGCATATGTGTGTGAGCGTGCTCCCTCTTCACCCTGAGCAGAGCTCCCTGTGCTGTCTCTTCAGCAGAGTTTCCATTTACAAACAGTGCTCTTCTTCCTCACCTACTATACATGCTTTGGAGGAGGCTTATGAAAAGGGCGGCTCCTAAGATCCGACAGAACGGCTGAACATTTCTGTGATGTCTGGTACTTTTAATGTTTCAGGAAGTTGACTCAACTGTAGAATCTTACTGACATGGCACCTTTTGAGAAACACCGCTAGGTCTTAAAGCTTATTTGTGAGGTCTGTGACTCTGTCCACCACAAACAGAACCCTTGGCTCCCAGCACACTTCACACATCATGAAAACCAGAGAGTTCCCAGTACTCAGTGGGTGGGGGTGAAATGTTTGGTTCGGTACTGTGAATTTATGAAGTCCTCATTCTAATACTGATTTCTTAATTGAATAAAAAAGACTCACCTCCTTGACATGAATATATAAACCATTGTGGAATGAAGACTTAAGTGCAGCTATTTATTTGTTTATTACAGGATACATTGAGGTTTTATTCAGCCATAAAGACATAAAATTTTGTCCTTTACAGGAAACAGATGGAAGATGAAGATTGTGCTGTTGTATGAAATAGTCCAGACTCAGAAAGACAAACATGACATGTTTTCCGTGAGCCCAGTTTTAAAGCAGCATGTTGTCATCAACCAGCTGTGTCCTTAAAGGGTAGAGGCTTACCCTTCCTTAAGAGGCTCAAGGTTGAAAGGTCACCGCTGACCTTTCAATGGCAGCCAGGCATGAGTCTGCCAACTTTCATCCTTCCGTTCTGCTCTCCTCAGCACTGAGGGGAATTCGTAGTATGCATAGGATGAGGGACACCTCAGAAAACACATCCATGTCCCCAGAGTGTTTTTCCTGCTGTATGTAATCATCGCAGGTAACACCGTGTCTTTACATGGATGTGTAGCATGGTGGAGTGAAGTCGTGGTCTGGCTTTGAGACAAATTGTATTATAGTGAAAGGTGTGTAGTGTGACTGTGGATGAACTGGTAAGTACTGTATCAACACACAAGCATCCATGAACTCTGTGTGTCTTTGTGTAATTTTATGAATCACACGTACGTGTATGAGCTCTGCTGTAATGCATAATGAAATGTGTGGCAGGTTTGCAGCAATGAGTTGGAGAAAAGTGACTTCCATTTGTTTTCCTTAGCCCAGTGATTCTTGTGACCATGCTACTCAGTTGGATGGCACCAAGGAAGAAAAAGAACTTCCAGGAGTTACCAACCCCAGTGGCCCTCTGGTAAGTTTTGGAAGGATGTGTGGGAATAAGGAAGAAGCCATTCATAGCCTACCAGATTCCTTTCATCAGTTTCTGACAAAAATACGCAGCAGCAAGTGAGCCGAGTTTGATAGGTAAATCTGTAATTGACTACATGTTCTATGAAAACAGACACGTAACTCAGTAACTCTGTGGTTTTCTCATTCCCCTCTCCAGTCCCCATTCCCAGTCATCTTCTGCAATTCCATCTGCTCTGCACTCACACCCGAGCGGGAAGAGTCAAGTGAGGTTAGGGCAATAGCCAGCTCCCCGTTACTGGAAAGCAGAGAGCTATGGCTCCATCCCTGGCCATCGGGGGCTTTCTCAGCTCTGTTCCTACTTCCAGCACATCCACAGCATGGATGGATCCCAAACTAATACTGTGTGGAAAACGCCAGGAAAAAACATTCAATTTATAGAAAAACACGAGAAATATGAGCTAACCCACAGTGATGGAGAGACCATTGGTGACTTCCTGGGGAATGAAGATAAAGAAAGAGGGGACGATAGATTTCCGCAAAGGACACGAGCATATCCTGGGATGCTGGTGACATTCATCTTGACTGTAGTAATGGCTAATTCCATAAGATCTAAGTATTGATCAAAATTTATTAATTTCATCAAAGTATTGATTAATACATATTCTATTTTTGGGTTTAATTATGCAGATAATTACGAATCAGCTGTATCTCAATCAACTGGTTAAAATCAAGTCCATAGTAAGCCTTACAATTTCAGTAATAGCACAGATATTTACTTTGCAGTACATTGCTTACAGTGCATACACGAATGGCTGTTCATATATTGTTCATGGTTGATCTTTGACTCTGAGTGACAAATGGCACTAAGTTTGGTACTTACAAAGATTTACAATCCAACTGCTATCATGAAATCAAATCACTTCTCATACAGATAAATGAAGGCACTTTTCTTGTGTTCAGTCAAGCGAAATATTCACTGGAGATGTTAGTCTGTTGAAAAGGCAAAGTAGTCAATCTAGTTTACTGCCAATGATTTAAGTGAAAAATCAAAATCAACACTTGCTATTGATTTATAACTCACGGCAAAATATAACCGTGCCATCTGTTAAGAGTCATCAGTTGCATCTGTGTGTGTTTCCTGTGAAAGGAAATCTGAGGAACCTTGATTTAAACAAGTAGGAGTTTGTTTTAATCACAGATTAAGAGACTGATGTTGAAAAAACAAAAAAAATCAAAGCCGGTACAGTTGCACAATGGTGACTTTACTATGGAGACTGACTTTCTCTTCATGATGCTCCTGTCCCAGCCCCGAGGTTATGAAACCAAGCTGATGTTCCCCAGGAGTGTCAGCCACCTGCTGTCTGTCTTCAATGTAAATCCTCACTGTTCCTGGAAAACATGCACAGTGGGGCTTCTCCCTCCTTTTTTTTTTTTTTTTTTTGGTTTTTCATGGTCAGCCTGTAACACCCTTACTAGGTTGTAAGGACTTTTTCCCCTTGATTGTTTAGACATTATTCCCTTAAAAATAAGTTATCTGGGTTTCTTATTAAAACTTTTTGTTTTATTTCTTAAGTACTATGAATCTTTAATTTATTCTGGATTCTGAGATTTGACAAAGATCTTGGTTTTATTTCATTTACTCTGATCAACCTTCAGTGAGTCTTCCCTGTCTCTCTTCAGTTTCTAGAGATTTTCTTCCATTGAATTAACTTTTTTCTCAATTCCTGTGGGCCATCTCTCTAGAACAGAAATTATATGATGGTTACTTTGTTTGAATCATATTCACTGTTTGCTAAATTTTATGTTAGTCTCTTTGTCATGTATTCTAAACTTTTTTCAACATTGTGTTTCAAATTATTACATTTTTTCTTGGTTATAACTATGTGATTATTTAGCTTCCCAGCTCTGTGTATGTTTCAGAGAACATATTCTTATTTCCAAAAAAAATAAAAAAAAAATTTTAAATCCATTTACCCGTTGTTATAGCAGTAGGTTCTGAGCCAAAAGTGGCTGCTTAAAACTTTGAGAATACAAGTTATTTTTACACCTTCTTGAAACTGGGGCATAATTTACAAATAACACACCATGCAGCTAAAGGGTGTGCATTCACATTTCTCTTGAGTAAGAGCCCACACAGTTCAGATCATTGCCAAGCAATAACCACCACTCAGCATCAGCACACACTGCTGCTCTCAGCCAGGAAGAATTTCATAGGTAAATCCAAGAGAGTGAAATCCTATCTTTGAAAATGCTACAGTCAGAAATTATAACCAGAATAACTCTTTATGAATACCCTGTGTGGAGGATGCTGTCAGCTAGTTCTTGGTGTTTGTGGGTGAGCTCACATGAGAAAATAAATAACTGACTACCATGTAAATATTTTTTCTATATCTTCAGTATCTACTAAGATATAAATATTTAATGTTTCCCCCAAATTTTCTAAAGGTAAATATTTTATGTGGAGAACATATCAACTGTGGTAAAGTAGCATGCTCAGTGACGAAAACAGAGAGGGATCTACCCCTAGGTGAGCACCCTCTGGTGAGAGAGCTGGAGCACTCCTGCTGGGTGGCAGCTAGAATCCTGCAGTTGAGCTTCCAGTGAGTGGGGTGCCTCTGGTCAAGTCTCTGATCCTAGGGGGGCTTTCTGTCTGCTTCCCAGACTTCACCCCTGCCCACTCTCCTCATCGCTGGGAGCCAAAGTCCTCAACTAAGCAAAGGGAAACACATATCCCCAAAGGGAGATCTCAATATTCTGATGGTGAACTTACTGCTTCTTTGGTACAGCTGGAATTAGTGATTTTTTTTTCCTATTGATACATGTAGAAAATTGTTGTATGTTTGCTCTATAGATTTAGTTTCCCCAGCGGTAGGTTCGTGACACTTATCTTTAAGGTATGTAGAGTTGGGGGATGGATCAGGCACCTGTCCCCGCCCCCCCCCAGTGCAAAACCAGAGAGGGGACAATTGATACTGTCTTACTTCCTGTAAAGCTAGGTCACTGGTTTTCTCTCTCAAGTCTTTCCCCTGTGGCACCTGTTCTCTTGCACTAATAGCCAACTCACCCCCAAGGTACCTAGTTTATTTTATTTAGATAATATGCTTTCTATTTTCCTAGGGTTATGTTTAACAATTGTCCATATTTAAGGGGGAAGTCAGTCTAGTGTCTTGTGTTTTCAACCATTTTTACATATTTGCCTGCATCTGTCCCTGCTTTGTTCATTCTTTATTATTAGCTTTTTAAACTCTTTTCCTAGGAATTCTCCTTTATGCTACTTTTAATTCTATTTTGTGTGTATGGGTGTTTGCCTGAAATGTATGTTTGTGTACTACATGTGGCCTGGTGGCCTGGGAGTCCAGAAGAGGGCATCAGATTCCTCAGGACTGGAGTTACACATGAGCCACCTTGTGGGCCTTGGGTATTGAACCCAGATCCTCTGGATAAGCATCTTGTGTTCTTAACAGTGAATCCATCTTTCTAGCCTTCTTATGCCACTTTAGAGGATTTATTTCTCCTTCTGTTTGCTTTTCATCTGGGAATTGTTGTCAGTTGTTCTACTGTAGAATTCTCTGCTGAATTCCAGGGCTGTGGAAATGGATTCTGTGTAAAATCTGCCACTTGTAGTGATTTGGGTGGGAGGAGAGGTAGATGGTTGTTAGTTGGCCTCCTTGGTTAACTTTCTCCAGCACATTTTTAAGTTCCATTTGTTTCTTTAAAAAGTTCTGCTCTCTCTGTGTCTCTCAGCCTCTCTCCCTCTCTCCTTCTCCCTCTCCCTCTCTCTCTCTCTCTCTCTCTCTCTCTCTCTCTCTCTCTCTCTCTCTCTCTCTTTCTTTCCACACTGGTGCTTTTCTCAAGCTAGGCTGCAGATTAAGGCAAGTGATTCCTTGGTTCAGACCGTTTGTCCAACACTAAACTCTGACTTCTGAGTAAGATTTGACACAACACCTTGTTTCTCTGCCTGGCAGATGTTTTCATGTGCATAGTAAGAAATTACTTGATTACAAACAGGACACTTTTCCTTTGCTTTCTTCTAGGGACCCTGACTAAAGGTCAAGGGGATCAAAATGACAAAAGGCAGAAATTAATCAGTAAGATTAATAAGAGACCCGCTGGATTTTTACATTAAAAGCTGGATGGAGTGCTTTTGTAATTAACAGACTAGATTCTGAGTATGCACACTAGCTGAAACACAGGGAAGGGCTGCAGAGTGAAGTTAGGAAGTGTAGGAGGGAGGGGAGTGGTGGATTTTCTCTTATGCAGAGGCAGGCTGGCACTCAGCACAGAGGAGAGTGATTAACCATATATAGAGAGATAGATAGATAGATAGATAGATAGATAGATAGACAGACAGACAGATGTAGATATCATCTGTCTATCCACCCATCTCTCTGGGATATCCATCTATCTATACATCTTATCTTCCATCCATCCATCTATCGTCTGATTTACTTATTTATTTATAAGCAACAAGGTCTCGTGCAGCCCAGGCTAGCTTCAAACTCTCTATGTATCTGAGGGTGAACTTGAACTCTTCATCTTTCTGCCTCCACCTACCCAGTGCTGGGATAGCAGGACAGCCCTGCCTCACTCACCTCTTGTTCCTTTTAAAAGAATTTAGGGCAACTGAAATGAGGAATGGTTTTTTAAAAGATAATGTTCTGACTTTTATAATTCCCAAATATATTCAATTTCATATCTTTTCTTCAGCCAAGAAAATTTACATCTTCAGTCATTACTGCACACTGTATCAAAAAAGTTCAAATCTGTTTTTTTTTCTAGATTTTCCAATGGAAAAATATATGTAGCACCAGTGCTGGTGAATTACACATTCACACACACACACACACACATTCACACACACACACACACACATTCACACACACACACACACACATTCACACACACACACACACACATTCACACACACACACACACACATTCACACACACACACACACACATTCACACACACATACACACACATACACACACACACATACAGACACATACACACACATATACACACACATACACACACATACACCACATTCACACACACACACCACATTCATACACACACATTCACACACACACTCACACTCACTCTCTCACACTCACACACACACACACGCGCGCGAGCGCTCACACACACACACACACACACACACACATACACACACACACGCTCACATATACATACACACATACACACACACATACACACACATAGATAAAATGGGGGGGGGCAGAAACAAGGTGGTTTTCATTTACTTTCAGACCTAACAGGAGAAGTGCAGGTCTAACAGTACAGACGCATGGACATGGCCTTACATCTGTGGTCCTTAGTTTACTCATCATTCTTAGCTGGACACAGTATGTGGCAGCTCCATGCTGTCATCGCTGGTCTTGGCCCGGGCAGATTGGGATTCCATGTATACAATTTGATTCTTAGAACAGGTCTTCCTTTGCAGCCCAGACTGCCATCCAGTTCCCCACCCTCCTGTCTCGGTCTCCTGAGTGCTGGGATGATAACCTTGTACCACCGCGTCTGATCCTATTCCTATTGATCAGGAAAGCCAGAGTTTTCCCAGAAACACTGTGGGTCACACTTACTTACATCTGATTGCCCACATCTGCCGCCTGATCCCTCTCAGGGCCACATGAGGCCAGAATGAAGTTTGTTTGTTTATATATTTATTTATTTTTATATACCTATCTCCCTAGAAATAAACCAAGGTAGTATTAAGGCAGCTAGAGTATGTGGCAGGTGGTAGCCATGTCTGTTGCAGAAGCCGGGTGTACCAGAGGGCTCGGCGTTCAGGCTGTCACAGTGGTGAGGGCTAATGACCAGGCACAGCTGTCCACATGCAGATTTCCATAACCTCACATTGGTCGCACACATCTCCTTGTGGAGCCCACAGACACACTGGAAAGTAATTCTGGAGTAAGAATGGTTCTTTCTGTCTCCATGTAGCCGGGTGATGCCTCTCTCAGCAGTGCCACCCTATCCAACGGTGTCCAGGATGAAGAGGGTAGTTTTGTGGACCTCCAGAGTGGCTCCATGGTGAGTTTTGATGTCGGCACAATTGCATGTTTAGACAACAATATTGCTGGAAGGTAAGAAGAACGATTTATTTTTCAAGACAAATTAAGAAAGCTTGAAGGAGTATTGCAAATAAACAACTGCTGCTGACCCACCAGATCCCTAACAAATAGGATGGATGGGATACTTCAAACTAAGGAATGAGTTCATCTTCTGTCCTCCAAGCCTGATGGGACAGGCTTATGCCCTCAGCTACGTGAGAGGCTAAGGCAGTGGGCTAACAGATCCAAGACTAGCCTGAACAACTTAGTGCCAAAAATTTTAAAAATGGGACCTGAGGAGATGCAGAAAGTGTTTGCAGGTTGAGCACAAAGACTCGATTTTGGTACCCAGTGCACACATAAAAACCCAGATGTGGTGGCTCCCGCTCATCATCCCAGTACCACGGAGTCACTGACAGGCAGATGTCTGGTTCTCACTGGCCATCAGTTTAGCCTAATCTGTGAGCCCCCGGTCCCAGTGAGAGTCCAGGTCTCAAAACACAAGCTGGATGGCTCCTGAAGAGCAGCTAACCAAGGCTGGCCTCATGTTTATACATATACGTGAACAAACGCGCATGCCCTAGCACACACATACCCACAACAATAATGAATATTAAATAGTAAAAAAGGTTAGCATATAACTCAGAGGTAGAACACTTGCCTAGTATCCATGAGATCCTACATCCAACCCCAGCATCACAAAAGCAATAGCAAATTATCTGAGTTTAAAGGGGGCTCTACTTACATACACGATTGTGTTTGTAAATCAGAGTCTTATGGCTCTGCATTATAAGAAACTGTGGACCAGCAGCTGATTCTGTCTAGGGCAGGGCTGCTGGCATGTGCGTGAGAGAACATTGAGGTCTCTGACTTTCCAGATGTGAATCAGCATCAGTTACAAGTCTTGGATGTCTGTAGCATTTTGTGCACCAAGACCCAAAGATTTTGTTTCAGGGGAGACCTCAACAGCTCACCCATTAGAGTTTATTTTGTGGAGTGGTATAAAGAGGGCCTAGTGTTAACTTTTCTGAAAGAATAATCTTCTCTCATGCAGTACCCTTTCACCCAAATCTTCATTGTTTTCTGTGTTTGAAATGACTACAAGTTATCCCCCATGTTTCTGTGGTCTGTCTTTGAAGCCCGCTAGAGTGAGGACATTCACCTGGAAGTCTTCCTTTTGCTTCTGAGAAATCGTTTCTTCCAGATGAACTCAGAGAAAGGTTATGCCTTCCTCTTGAAAAGCTCACTGGGACTTTTCCTCTAATGTTTCATGATTATGCAGAATATTTGTTCTGGATTTCTAAGCCTCGTAATTGCATTATCGTGGGCTGTGGGCTGAATTGCATCAGATGATCAGCCAGTGTTTATTGAAATGAATGTCTTCATCCACAGACGGAAGGTGTTTTAATTGTATCTTTAAAGTGAACACGTGCAGATGTTTCTTCTTGCTGTACTTTGCTCAGCAATACAGCATAACAGCTACTCACGTAGTGCTGACACCGTGAAGCACTGTGCACAATGGAGGGTGGTCTGAAGTCTTGAAGAGGGATGCAAATGCTGCCCTGTTCTATGAGAACTGTCCATCACTTTTGGTATCTGTGGAGTCCCAGGAATCACTCTTTGCCTGAGGATCACTGGTGGGCCGGTAGAATCATGGTAGTCTCACTCTGAGTCCAGTGCTGTGGCAGGAGGCCGGTCATTTGTTTTGTTCCATCCCACAGTGTCCTTTGAGTGTAAGTCCCCTCAGTGAGCTAAAACATCCCCCTAAACCCAACTTGTTAAAGTGCCAGTGCTGCTACGTGGAAGACCAGACGTGGGGATTTGGGAGATAGGTCATATCAAAACTATAGCCGTGGGGTATATGCTGTGGTGTTAGGTTTTTGCAGCCCCGACCTCTGTCTTTTCATCTGGAAATTGCAGTGTACAGGCATCTGTATTTCAGCAGTTGGCGTCTATTTGCATGTGATTTATACAATTAAGAGATTTAAAATCTCATCTGAAATAAAAACAGGCATCAAAAGACAACCTGAGGCTGAGAATTTGAGACTCCCCTGTGCAGTCTGTAGCATATGATAACAGATCTTTCACGAAGCAGGTGTTCGATGATTGCTGAATAAATATGAGAATAAAAAGGCCCAGCATTGAAGTCTTTGGGGAAAAGGACAGATTTTATGTGTGAATAGCATATAGAAGGTTCTTGATAGAATAGCAGTTTCTTGAAGTCACACATGTTCACAGATAATAACCCCACATTAGAATTTATATAGGATATATAGTTTGCATGTAAATTTTTGGTAGAGTTTCTATGTCATTTTTTTTTTTTAGTGGTACCCTTCCAGACATGAACAGAAACTCACTTTGTAGAACTCTGTAAGGAAAGATGCTCAGCTTTTGATGCCACAAGTGGGGCACAGAGCTGTGGCAGGGTTTCCATGTGAGGAAGGAGCCAAATTAAGGAAGGAAGTTGGATTATAAATGATAACTTGTTATTTTAGAGTTTTATTGTTGTTGTTTGTATGTTTTGTTTTGAGATAGGCTCTTACTGTGTAGACCAGGCTGGCCTAGAACCCGCTGTGTTGATCCAGCTGGCCTAGAACCCTCTGTGTTGACCAGGCTGGCCTGTAACTTCACCTGCTGCTTTTCCTCCTGAGTGCTGGGATTACAGTCAGGTACTCACCACATCTGGAAAGATGGTTAACCTTTTCATTAGTTGTTATTACAACATATTTCACAATTTGAGAGTTGATATGCTAATATTAGTGATATAACTGATGTAACTAAGAGAGAATGTATCCAGAATAGCAGGTGGCAATTACCAAATATATATCATCAAGCATTCTAATTTTTACACCTTGGCAGAAGCAGCTGGATATCTGAACTAAGAAGGCAGAGTTAGTTATGAGTAAACTTGGGTGAGCCACATTCATCTAAACTATCTATAGAAACAACTGTGGTCACCGCAAACCATTTCTGAGACCAAGAAGTATATTTGTGAAAAATATTCAGACGTTGTGGAACACACACCCTATTGAGATGAAGGGTCAGGCTGGAGAGTTGGCTCTGCTGCTGAAAGCTAGGCTTATAACCACAAGTGTAAGAGAAGAAGGGTCACTGTATTTGTGCTAAGTGCTTTTGTCTCTCTTTGCTTGCTTGGCAGTCAATACTTGAGGCTATCCCAGGTCTTCCTGCTCACACCAATGGGTCTGCAGATGCTGAACCGCCAGTTCCAAGTGCCTTGCATGGTGAGTGGCATGTCCCCTGGTCAGCCTATGCTGTGCCTTCTCCTTTGGGGTCTGGCACTCAGTGCAGTTAGCAGTGAGTTTCTTTTTTATTATTTAATACAATGACTCTTAACATTGACTGTGTCAACACCATAAATATAAACATAGGACTTCTTGGTGGGATACCTGTGGCGAGGTTTGATGCATACATACATTGGCTAATGTCTGAATCAGGATGAACTTATCTAAGCCTTAAACACATGTCGTTTCTTCGTTTTAAAACCTTCCAAATTCCTTTCTTGCAGGTTTTTGGAACATGTAGCATGTTATTGTTATCTCCCTTCTGTTAGTATTCAGGCATCTGTGCCAGCCTGTCCTTGGGGTTCTGACAGGACACACCCTCAGCTGCAGCCACTAAGAGCACCACCTGTGCACATTCACTGTGTTCCCTTTTAAAGGGGTCCTGTCCACCTCCCATCCTTCTCTCTCTCTTTGTCTGTCTTTTTCTCTCTGTGTGTCTGTCTCTCTCAGTCTCTCTCTGTCTCTCTGTCTCTGTCTCTGTCTCTCTCTCTTTCTCCTTCTCTGCCTATCTCCCCCCCCCCCACCTCTGCTTCTTGTTCTCTCTTCTACTTTTCCTGTTCCCAGAGGCTGGTCTCCTCACTCACCCCCCCTTTCCATTCTCTTTCCCCTAATTAAAAAACAAACAAAAAACAACAGAACAAAAAAACCACATGAGCTCTGTCTGTCACAGGGCATCCTTTTCTCTTGAGCTGCTTTTTCACCATGCTCGGCCACAGTACCTCAGAACTTTCTAGTCTCATCTCACTGTGCCCTAGTGCTCATCCATACATCTCTCCCCACCCTTGCCTCTACCCGGAAAGATGTGTATTGTGATTCTGTTGCTTCCAGCACTCCACCCCTTACCTCCAAACAACCCATTTTGTCATAACAGACAATGTTAACCCAGCAAGGCGAAGTTTTCCTTCCAACATGTGAGGTAGGAGTTTCTTACTTGGGCAGTGACTTTGAGTTAGGCCTGGGGCCCCATAAGTGCAATGATGTAACCCAATGTTACAAGGAGGCTAAGAAGCAGCCTCATCCAAGCTCCCCGGTTACTGAGGAAGTGTGTATTAACCCCGAGCTGCTTCTGACACACAAGCTTATAGGGCTGACTCTCATCTGAGGTCTGCCACTTGAGACCCTCAGGGATGGGAACCTCCTGCTCCAAGGCTGCCCTCCCGCAAGGCCATGCCTTTGTGATTCCTGTCTTTGAGAAATGCACACTCTGTTCTTAGAGAAACACAGCCTATGCTTTGACCATTCGAATGAAAATGCCAAGTGGAGTTGATGCATGCACGCACTCTAGAATCGACCAAGATGATAGTTGCCCGGCTGTGACATTAAAATCCATTGACTTCATACATCAAATGATGAATTGCCTGATGGGCGGATTACTTTTCAATAATGTTGAGACTAAAAGTAAAATAACCAAGAGGAGACTTGCCAGAAATGCTTTCCCATCGGTCTGCTTACCATCTGTGACCTGGTGCAATCAAGCCATCATGGGCAGATGCCCACGTGCAGTGTCCCAGTGGCTTGGAGAGTTGGCCTGCCTGGTTACTGTTTCCCGAAGACCCCCCTGCCTGGCTACTGTTTCCCGAAAACTCCATCCTGGATGTGCAGAAGTAGGACCACTGTTCAATCACTCTCCTCTGTGCTGAGTGCCAGCCTGCCTCTGCAGAAGAGAAAATCCACCACTCCCCTCCCTCCTACACTTCCTAACTTCACTCTGCAGCCCTTCCCTGTGTTTCAGCTAGTGTGCATACTCAGAATCTAGTCTGTTAATTACAAAAGCACTCCATCCAGCTTTTAATGTAAAAATCCAGCGGGTCTCTTATTAATCTTACTGATTAATCCTGCCTTTTGTCATTTTGGCCTCCTTGACCTTTAGTCAGGGTCCCTAGAAGAAAGCAAAGGAAAAGTGTCCTGTTTGTAATCAAGTAATTCCTTACTATGCACATGAAAACATCTGCCAGGCAGAGAAACAAGGTGTTGTATCAAATCTTACTCAGAAGTCAGAGTTTAGTGTTGGACAAACGGTCTGAACCAAGGAGTCATTGCCTATGTGGGCCATGCCTGTCTCTGTCACCCAGTCAGGTACTTCTTATGTGCATCAGGAGGTTAGACCAACATGGAATTAAGGATTCCAGAATGATCCCTACACACCCAGCAGTGAAGTCCACTCTGGATAATCTTAAAGGGGGAAATTTTGTGCTTGTGAAACTAGAGGGTAGTTTTAGGGAGATTCCTTCCTTTCCCCCTCTTTAAGCTTCTGGGCCCCCAGTAAGTAATGCCGAATCTAAATGGCAGTTTTAATATCAGAACACAGAGAAATGCACTATTGAGAGCTTTGCCTCTAACCCTTAAAGACTTTCACAACATCTAAAAGTTTAAAACATTAAGAATTAGATTGGACAGTTGTTTTGAATGCTGGTAGAAATGTGTCTGTGGGAAGATCAGTGTGGACTCTTCCTCCGGGAGCCAGGCTATGTTCCCCAGATTTCCATACTCCAGCATGCCTGGGGTCCCTTGGAAGTACTGGTAGTTTATTTTGCAGCCAGTGGCATTGGCTGGTTTGATGCTGTATTACATTTCTTGTTTCTTGTTTTTGTCTTTTTTCTTTTTAGATGATGATTATTTAAAAAAGAACATTCCACCAGAGGCTGAAGAGCTATCTTTTGAGGTGTCTTACTCAGAAATGGTGACAGAGGCCCCAAACAGAAATAAATGGAAGAAGTCAGACATTAAGAAAGAAGACTGTGCCTTAACTGTAAGTCAGCCCTTCTGTGATCAGTCTCATAACTTCCTGAGATGGCGTCCTGTGTCAACATGAGGGCTGCTTTTCATCTCTGTATATACATCATGGAGTTGGGGACGCCAGGACACCCGTGTCTCCTGGGATATGCTTAGACATGTGGCTTTGTGTGTAGGTACCACGTGTAACCCAGATTTCAGGATAGTAGTATATACAGTCCTTATGAGAAGGCAGTGGCTGGGTGGAGGGGGGTGGCTCAGTGGTTAGAAGTATTTGCCATGCAAGCCCATGTAAAGAAGGGCATAGCGGATTTCTTCTGTAATCTCAGGGCTCCTGTGCTGAGATGAGAAGCAGAGGCCAACTAGTGTGGTGTTCTCGGCAGCCAACAGTTAGAGGCCCTGTCTCAAAGAGGGTGGATAAAGGCAAGGACTGACCGCTGAGACTGTCTTCTGACCACCAGATGCCTGCTGTGACATTCATGCCCATGCTTACACACACATGTGCACATACACACAGACACAGAAAGATGAACAAGGAGGAGGCGGTGGCTATGGCCGCTGCAGTGCTAAGCAATTTCACAGCCTTGATAGCCATGCCATCCTACCCTTCTGGCTACAGTTTGGCTTCTAATTAGCCTAACAGTCATCTTCTTGCTTTCTTAAACACCCACTCACTGTTTCCATGGCCCAGGGTGCTCCTTGAAGGTAATTTTCCCCAGTAGGTTTTATTGTGTAAATTTAGAATGTTCTGATTTCATTTGATAAAAAAAAAAAAAACTTCACTGTATATTTCAGAAATTTATTGTCCAGAAAACCAGATTTGGGTGGACTGAAACAGGAGACCTGTCTCCCGAAGACATGAAGAAAATCCGCCATCTCTCTCTAATCGAACTGACGGCCTTCTTTGATGCTTTCGGAATACAACTGAAGAGAAACAAAACGGAGAGAGGGAGAGGCCGAGGTAACTCGTAAGCCAGGCCTCGGCCTCAACGCTGGCCCTGGAACACCAGGACACATTCTGACCCTTGCATTTTCTTCCTCCTTTGGCTATTTCCACTACAGACAGCGGGATTTTCGGAGTGCCACTTACAGTCCTCCTGGACAATGACCGGAAGAAGGACCCTGAAGTGAAAGTCCCCCTTGTGTTACAAAAAGTGAGTCATGTGCAGAGGAAGGGGGAGAGAATGAGCTCATTGGGTATTTTTTCTTAAAAAGTGGGACTCCTGTGGGTTAGGCCAAGCATCCTTCCTCACGGTGCTCTGCAGACGTGTAGACCATTTGCTCTTGTTATCAACCCACTTTTCCTTACTATACAAAGACACCTGACTCGGTACTCACTAGAAAGCAAGTGATTTAAACCACGATTGGGAAGGCTGAGATCCCGAAAGGTATAGTGTCACTCAGTGACAGCCACCTTGGCCATACTACCTCATGGCAGATGTCAACCCAGTGCCAGGAACATGTGTGAGAGGGAGAGTTTGCATTGTCAGTGGGAATTCAGTGAACGACAAGGGTTCAGGAAAGGTCTCCCGTGGGCTCCACCTCTGGAAGTCCTGCTGCTGCACTGTCACAGAGGTCCACACTGTAGACTCATGACCCATGAGGGACGAGCCACTGACCACCTCAGGAGTGTTTGTTGCATGCTGCTGGAGCCTTGCATTGCTCCGAGGTAAGATGTCAGGGAAGACACGCGTGTTCCAGCTCCTAGCTGTCTTCACATGTTGCTTGTGAACACGTATTTGCATGTTTTTTTGTTTTTTGTTTTTTTTTTTTCTCAAGGCAGGGTGTTAGCATCTAGCCCCATGGGCAGCAACCGAAGCATGCTTGCTGCTTGCTCAAGTAGACACTTGCTCAACAGTGACATCCGGTGGCACAATTAAAACACCAGCCTTTACCACAGACCTTGCTGGATTTCAAATTGTTTGTGAATGATACATGAAAACCCTGGCTGAGGACACACAGTTGCTTCACTCACTCTAACAAGTCCACACCCTCACTCTTCTTTCTTCTTGAGTGGCAGTGACAATTAGGAGATGCTCGTGTCTTCTCTGTGCACTGGGCCCATCTGTGGAGAGGCTCCCCAGGGGAAGGATTGTCCCAATGATGTCATATCCTATGGAGTCAGCATGGAGCAGCCCAAGGGGTTGTTTTCTCTGCTCCTTGCTAACAAGGCAACTGGGGCACAGGAGGATGAGACAACCTAAGAGACAGACTGGGATGGGAGCACTGCAAGTGCCAAGTCCAGAGTCCTGCTGACTGTGCTGCCCCCCCCCCACACACACCTCTGGAATTACAGCACAAATTCTGTGCTTTCTCCTATGTACAGATGGTGGGCTTTGAGGACAGCAGTCTTAGAAAACCCACGGCAAGAATTCAGCCTAAGTTTATTTGACATAGGTGCAAAAACCCCAGCATCGAACTAGGCAACTGGCATTAGATGAGGAGTGCTCAATAAATGCTAAGTGAACTGGAGACTTAGATCACATTCCCAGCACAGCCAGTGGCAGCCATTCTGACTGCTGATGTTGTGTGCCTCACTCAAGGCGGTTTGAGGAGGTACTGTCTATCTCTCAGCTGCTGTGAGAGGCTTGTCTTAGACACCTGTGCCTTCTTTCCCCGTCCCTGACAGGGTATTGCCACCCAAGCATGCAGCATTCTGTTCCAGCTTCCTCTCACTTTCTGAACTTAGAAAGGTTACCTGCCCTCCACATGCCTCAGCCTCCTCATGAGGGGGTTAATAGTACTGGAGGTCAGGGCTGAATGCCCGAGTATGTGCAAAGCACTGAGAACAGGGTTTGACCTTCAAGAAGTGCACAGGAAGTGGAAACTCACTGTTAAAGCTCACCACCACCACCACCATCTCCACCACCATCACCACCACCACCACCACCACCACCACCACCACCACCACCATCACCACCGTCACCATCACCACCACCACCGTCACCACCACCACCACCACCATCACCACCACTACCACCGTCACCATCACCACCACCACCGTCACCACCACCACCACCGTCACCAATCATCACCACCATCACCACCATGAGAATCTCAGAGAGCAGTTAACTTACATTTCCAAGTTCTTGCATAGTCTTCTTTAACTTCTTAGGCAGGGTCTTTGCAGTTAATGAGAGTAGATTTGGAAGAGACCGAGGACAGCCAGAGTAGTGTGGCTATAGACACAGTTGACTTAGAAATTTTTTTCCTATTGATTGATCTGCAGAAGAGAAATAATGATCAGACTTGAAAGAGTCAAGTTGGCAGAACAGCTTAATAAATAAGAGAACATAGCTGGGAGGGTCAGTGCTTTGCTTAATAGGTGATGTTGAGAAGTTAGGTCTACATGGAGAATTCACTCATTGGCCAATTGGAAGGAATGTTGACATTGTTGAGTTAATTAGCATTTTGGAAATAATTCATATATCAAGTATATATGCATACTTATCAGTCTGTTGGTTATTTCCCTCGTTGTTCAGAATGTTTTCAATGATACAGAGATGTTCAATTTTTGTAATTTTTTGTTGATTTCTAGTTCTTTCAGAAAGTCGAGGAATCAGGCCTGGAATCGGAAGGAATTTTTCGACTTTCAGGATGTACAGCCAAAGTCAAGGTACTCAATGTTCTCTACCTTCCTAGACAAAGATGTGAGCTACTCTTAGCCAGTGTTCTACTGCTGTGAAGAGACCCCACAACCAAGGCGACACTTGTAAAAGAAAGCATTCAATTGGGGGTTTGTCTTCAGAGGTTGAGTCCATTATTCATTATAGGACATGGTGAGAGAATATTGGAACTTACAGCTGGAGCAGTAGCTAAGAGTTGCATCTCCATCAACAAGTAGAGAAAGGCAGAAAAATTGGGGCCCAGCATGAGCTTTTGAAAACTCAGAGACACACTCCATCAAGGCCACACCTGCTTCAGTAAGGCCACACCTCCCAATCCTTCTCTAACAATGCCACTCCCTAATGAGCAAGCATTCAAATATATGAGCCTGTGGGGTCATTCTTACTCAAATCACCACAACCCACTCCCAGCGAGTGTCAGAAGTCTAGTCTTTGTGACCGTGATTTTTCCTTTGATAGTGTCACATGGCTTGCCTTAATGCTCTTCAGTACTTCTGATTTTATGTTTCTTCCATGCCTCGATTCATAGACATAGCATAATGAAGCATTGCATTGCTTGACCATCAAAACTGTTGCATGTCTTCATTTTGAAGTTGGAAACACCCATCCCTCTTTGAGGGGTTACCCACTTTGGTTGGCTAAGTCTTCTTTGGCCTTTGAAGTCAGTGAGCCCATTTGCTTCCATTGCCAATTAGTTCCAGCTGAGAAGCATTCTTAGGCTCTCTTTTTGGCTGAATTTCTTCCGAGAATTTGTAGCAAATGCTCCTAACCACAGGAATACTCACTCAGCTGTTCTGAAACCTAATTCCATTTATGGTAATGTCGGCGTCTACACATAACACCAACACAGCAATGTGAATCTGTTTGCTTGGCCTTCTTATACCCATACACAGACAGGCACACTCGCCCTACAGAACAGTAAAGAGTCCTTGAAGGGAAAACTCTTCTGATAAATTTCTAGTAAAATATCCCCTTGTACTTCCTGATGGGCACACAAAATAAAGAGCTCATGCCTACTCTTTGCTCATCCCGGTCTGTGGATGTTCAGTGATGGGCCCTGAAAAGAATATTCATATGGTGGCAGAAAAAATGAATTTGATTGTGATAGACCCATAAAAAAAAGAGATGGAAAGTCAAGGCATACTTTCATTAATTCATTTAAGTACTCACTTGGGTTCTATTCCTATGAGAATTGTCAAGGTAGAAATTTGGAATATGACAGGGTATTTTCTGAATGGGAAGATAACAAGTAAACTGTGTCTATTTGATCCTCCACAGCAGTGATGGATTGATTGGCAATAGAAGAGAGCCAATAAGGCATGGGCAGTGGTACGCTTGTCAGTTCCTCCTACACTGGGCAGAATGGAGCAGGTCTGGACCCTCTGCCAGCTCAGCCACAGGCTAGGAGCCCTTCAAAGAACGGCTGCAGCCGGTATTGAGGAGTGTTCAGTTACCAGCTGAGAGAGTCAGCTGCCTGAACCTCTTGACAGTGAATGTGGCAAGTTCTCATTGGAAGGAAGGTCTGTCTGAAGCAGGGCAGGCTGGAAGTCATGACTGTGTTCAGTGACAAGCTGGGTAAACAGGAACCCACTTTCATTTGGAAGGCAAATAACTTCCCGGTGGCCCCTGAAGCAATTCTATCCTGATTTACATCATGTTTTATTCTTAAATTCCCTCGGAATTTTATTCCGAGGGAAATGCACACAATAATTAGGGTGATTGTCTCAGCCAGAGACCCTAAAGAAAGCCCAAGAATCAGGCTTCCTAACCAGAATCAGACTCCATTCCCCTAAACCTCTCTCTACACAGATCCTCTGTCAAGAGAAAAACGTTCTTATGTGCCCCAAGTTTGCCATGAGAGCAGACTTTCTTTTCTTCAGCTAACCCTTTGTGTAAAAACTGCTAACCAAAGGCTGAACACCCTTGCAATGTGTTCTCAGGCACACACGTTCCCAAACCACATTTAGGGTGAAGTCTTTTTCCCTTAATGGGTTTGATGTTGTGTCAGCCAATTTATTCTGCTGCTTGTTAAGCCAGAAATTCGGTCCAGATGTTTTCATAGTTCTGGTTTTAGGGAAGCGAGCATTGGAAGAAATCTGGGCCAGTGAGCAGAAACAGAGATGCTGTGGTTAGAAAGATAGAAGTGACATGTTGCCAGGGCCTGTGCTTCTGTTCTTTGTTCAAACCTTCCATACCTGTACTGGTTTTGACTTGGTTGCTGTAATGTCATCCTCTGAAATATACTTCCTACAGACCATGCTTGGGGAAAGACAGCTTTTAAAAATCCATTATAATTATTCCTGATCTGTGCCAGGTCAATGACACCGGCCATCAGGGATGCTGACAATGAATGGTCCAGTCTTGGCTTTGGGGAAGCTGACATTGAATGGTCTATCCTTGGCTTTGGGGAAGCTGACATTGAATGGTCCAGCCTTGGCTTTGCATTCTAGGTGATTACTGAGACTGACAGGGACTCAGGCCTGAGAGTAAGCTGCTCAACGAGAGCCAAACAAGGACATCACAGCAAAGCCAGTTCTCAAATGTGAGGCCCACAGATCACTTGGAATCAATTTAATGCTTTGGAATGTTCAATGATTTTCTTTTCAAAACATCACAGAAATTTGAGCCAAACACTGGAACGTGTTTTAGGGAAGAAAGCAGACTGTTTGACATGGAAGATTTTCTCTTCCCCTGGTTTCTGCTGTGCTGAGGTGGTTGTAGATGCTTTGCAGTTTCATAACCTTGTATGTGTTATTCCCTCCACCCCCTGGGGCTGGTGGCTTCAGGCTAACTATTTGCATTTTTGTGAAAATGCTTCAAAAAGTGTGCCTGTGCTACAAGGAGATCCAAGTACATGACTTTGACTCTGCCGGTGTTCTCCTCAATGGCAAACAAACAAACAAACAAACAAAAAACATAGATTTTTATTGACTGATAGATGAGCTGCTTGGTTGGTTAGCTGGTTGGTTGGTTGTTTTTTGGAGACAGAACCTCACCCTTTCTTTAACCTGGAGTGGCTATATACTCACCAGTACCTGCAGGGTAGATCAGAATCACACATACTCAGGAAGAAAGCTCAGTTTTGTAGGCTCTGGGAGCCATGGAAGTGTCTGCACCTGGCATGTTGGTGAGCTGATCCTGGTAGAACAAATAGACTATGGCTGTCTTTGTTTAAAGCTAGAAGTAGGTTCTGAGAATGAAGCAGAGGCTGTAAAAAGTGGAAGGTTACCTGAGTCTTGTCTAAGTATCCTCTTTAGAGAGAGTGGTTAGTAACAGTCAGGGAGAGAACTCTGACTGCCCAGTGTTTGAGGTAAACCCTGATGTTCAAGGGAATGTTAGGAAATGTATGTGTCCTTGGTAAAGAGTTACAAAGAATTGTTCCCACTGACAAACATATGAGCCAGGAATGCAAACTTTTCCAAGTATAAACTTAATGTGAGTGGAACTTGCAGCTGCCCGGTGCTTTAACACAGGCTGCTTGCACAGTGCACCACACTGTAGAAAGGATTGGGCAGGCATGCTAACATGTGGAAGACGTATGTGTGTGTCTGTCTTTGTGTCTGTGGTGTTGTGTCTGTGTGTGTGTGTGTGTGTGTGTGTGTGTCTGTATGTGTATGTGTGTCTGTGTGTGTGTGTGTCTCTGTGTCTCTGTGTGTGTGTGTGTGTCTGTGGTGTGTATGTATGTATGTGTGTGTGTGTGGTGTGTGTATGTGTATGTGTGTCTGTGGGTGTCTGTGTGTGTATCTGTGTGTGTGTGTGTGTGTGTCTGTGTGTGTATGTATGTATGTGTGTGTGTGTGTGTATCTGTGTGTGTGTGTGTGTGTGTGTGTCTGTGGTGTGTATGTATGTATGTGTGTGTGTGTGTGGTGTGTGTATGTGTATCTGTGTGTGTGTGTGTATCTGTGTGTGTGTGTGTGTGTGTCTGTGTGTGTGTGCTGTACCCATTCCAGAAGAGGTCATTATCTTGCACGCTACAGTGAAGTCAGAGTTACTATATTAGGACATCTCTCATTCCACATGCAAAAGAGTGGAGAGGCATGTATTCATGGTCTGACTTACAAGCAGAAGAGTTATGACAAATGGAAAATGGCGGTTTTGTCCAAAATGAGCAAAGCATTTATCGTGTGGGGGCTGTGGCGTCCCACTAAACCCACAAAAAATGAAGCCGACTCAGTTAATAACTTTTAGATTTGTGCAGAATTAGCAAATTGTTTTAAGATGACAACTGTTTTCCCGGTGCCTTTGGAAGTGCTTTTAAAAAGTTAATTCACAAGCAGGTATTTCAGCTCCTAATCACATGGGAAGGTTAGGGTTAGCAGATGCTTAGCCATCTAGTTGCGAGAACATAGCTTGTGTGGTGATCGTGGGGACAGAGGACATGGCGTTCGGCACCATGGAGGACTGACCGTCTCCCTTGCTTTGCAGCAGTACCGCGAGGAACTGGACGCCAGGTTCAATGCTGACAAATTCAAATGGGACAAGATGTGTCACAGAGAAGCTGCAGTGATGTTGAAAGCTTTCTTCAGAGAACTCCCCACCTCCCTCTTCCCCGTGGAGTACATACCGGCCTTCATCACTCTGATGGAAAGTACGTGAAGAAGCTAAATTCAGTGGGACAGAGACAGAAGGCTGAGGCAGTGTATGAGCTGCCGAGTCCTCCACAGAGAAGTGTGGTTACAGTGAGGTGCCGATTGCTTTTTCCTGTGGACACCGGGGTGAAATGTCATTTACGGCAGACACCCCCCAGTTTGCATCTCTAAACCTGATAGTTGTTCCTAATTTTTTTTAGTTTGCTGGAGATTTTAAAGGATACTGAAGTGGGTTTTTTTTTTTTCAGTTCTGGAATTTCCAGTTGATGCTTTTAAATGTTCTAATTTGCCTGTTGAGGGGGCCCTGTTTTATCATCCATTGTACGCATGTTTTCTTTCATAATGTTTGCATACTTTTGAGACCTTCTTTGAAACCTTGTCTGCTAGTGCCAGTCCCCGGGTCATCTCCTGATCCTGGTCTTCTTTGAGAAGGGGTACATACTCTTCTTTGTATGTGAAGTTAGTTTAGATTCTGTGCTGGGTGTTGGGTTTGGCTGCTGTGCTTAAACAGGTCATTTGCTTGGTGGGACCAAACCTGCCACCAATCTCTAGTACAGAAACTCAGCATTTTGTGTGTGTGTGTGTGTGTGTGTGTGTGTGTGTGTGTGTGTGTGTGTGTGTACACAGTGAGTGTGAAAAAACGTGTGTGTGTGTGTGTGTGTGTGTGTGTGTGTGTGTGTGTGTGTGTGTGTGTTCTCCTGTGTGTACACATGTAGAGGTCACTCTGCACTTCTCATTTGTTGTCTTTGTCCTAACACAGTAACTCTACCTGAACCCAAAGCTCACATTACGTCTACAATGGCTAGCCAGCAAGCCCCAGAAATCTGCCTGTTATAGTATTTGCCACCAAACCAAGCTTTTTCTATAGGTATAGGGGATGGGAGGTCCTACAGGTGACAATGACTCTGAAAAGTACTAGCAACCACCCAGAGTAGTGGAGAGGGAACAAGAGTGGGCAGACTGGAGAGACCAGGGAACTCAGGACAGGGGAAGTGGCCCACTTTTCTGGAAGTCAGTAGTCTGTGCAGTGTAAGATAACAAAGACTCAGTGAGGGTTAAATAGATAGTCCTGCACTGTCTGGCCGGAACTGGACTGTGGAATGTTATGGGGCAATGAGAAACAGAGAGGACAAGCCACACCAAACCTCAGGCTAACCCGCAAGTACGCATGTGTGAGGTGCAAAACAAAGGGAGAAAAACCCAACTGGAAGGCTGGCTCCCTAGGTAAAGTGCTGGCTATGCAAACATAAGGACCCAAGTTTTGATCCCCTGCACCAATATAAAAAGCTTGTCACCAGCTCCTCGACTCCAGCACACACAGCTTCAACTGTTGCAGTAGCTTCTTGCTTGCTTGAGGTTTGTGTTTCTGTGATGCCCAGTGCTCTTACGAGCCATAGATGGCCTCCAGCCACAGACTGCGAATTGATTGTAAGGGTACCCTTCAGCTTGAGATCTCCCTAAGAGCTCCAGAGCATCTGGCCTTCTGCAGACACTTGCACCAGCAGACCCTTTTGGAGAGGATTCAGAGGTGAAGGAAAGACTTCAATGGATGCTAACCCTCTGGCGCATCTTGTGTCAGTAGGGAATAAAATCTTCACGTTCCCCAAACCAACTAGTCACCTCCCTTAAATCTCTGTGTGAGACAGGAAATAAATAGCATTGGTCGTAAAACCAATGTGCCCACACTTGAGGTGACGACTGTTTCCAGGTACTGACCCAGACATTGTGTGCACAGTAACTTACTTCATCCTCATGCCAGCCCTATGAGCTACATAAGAGTTTACAGATGGCAAAATGAAAGCAAAATATTAAATGACTTAGTTCTAAAAGCGGTTTGAATCTGGGTCTAGAACAGGCTATACGCTGCTGCGTCCCTGTGTGCAATGTATGTTTGCTCTTGGATTGATCTTTGTCTTCTGTTTACAGAGTAAGGCAAGGTCTGTGGACACTCTTTTGGAAAGGGAACTGTCACATAAACCTAGAATTATTTAAAGCATCTTCTTGGCATCGTGGTACTGAAAGGGGCTGACAGACTGGGGCTCCTGTCCAAATGAACAAATTAACATTGTTGAGCTCCAAGCCTGAGTCCTTCCCACTTAGCTGTCAGAGCCCTCCTGCATCACCAGATGTTAGCATGATTGCTGTCAGAACACATCAGTGTGGCTTCACGCGTGTGATTATTTCTGCTTTCTTGTTAGGAGGGCCTCACATCAAAGTGCAGTTTCAAGCCTTACACCTCATGGTCATGGTCCTGCCTGATGCCAACAGGGACACAGCCCAGGTAAGTGCAATGACCTTATAATCTGTCACGGGGCTCATCTGGGGAAAATAGAAGTATGACAACTTGCAGGGCCATCTGTGTGACACACTCCCCACTGCCTTGCCTGCTCCCAGTATTGTTGTGTGGAGGAAGACACAAAGAATGGAAATTCTAGAAGTCTCTTCGAACGTTCACATTTAGTTCCCTCAGTTCAACTGGGGCATGCCCAGTGTCTAAACGGATGCCAGGATTAAGTGCGGGGAGTGGGAGAGATGAAGATGAGAGGGTACACTGACCCGGATTCGGAGTCAGTAAGAATGGTTAGCTCCTCTACAGTCCTGTGACTCCTTCCAGCCTGGTGGGAGAGAACTGACGAGCCTCTGAGGAGGGCATCTCAGGTCACTGGGCTGCAAGATTTCTAACACATTCCTGCCTTAGGATATATATGCACAGCATAATTTAAATAGTCTGATGTTTTAGGAGTTTAGATGCCATCTGGTAGCGTCTGGCCACTTTCCAGATTGGAAAAACAAAGCCCAGAGAAGGGATTTACCTGCTGACAGGTGACAGGGCTACTGGTGGACTGGCATCCATAGTCCCCTTCCTCTCAAATTCGTTTCTCTGTTGTATGTTAGTAAAATGTGAGTTTCCCTCGCAGTTTTGAGGATGAGCTGGTAAACACAGAGCAGGCACTTGGAACCTTTGGAAGGAGATTAAAATAAGATGAGCGGAAAGAGCCCTTGATTTTAAGGCCAGTCAATAGGATGCAGAGAACAAAGGAATCAGATTGCTTTCTGTCTACATGGTTTTGGGGGTAGGGGAGGTAGGTACCTTTCCCCACATGGCAGGAACACTTCTTTCGATTTAAAAACACATGGCACATACCTGTAACCCTAGCCCTTGGTATTGTTGAAAGTTCCAGGTACGTGTAGACTACATAGCTGGACCTGGGTGTCTCGCCTGTCCCCACATCATAAAGCACACCGTTATCTTACATCCTCAATACAAGGGTGGGGCCAGAACAACATAAAATACCATATTTTAACATCATTCAACATTTTTCCAAAAGTTACAAATTTTTATTTTTTGGCGTTGCCTAAACAATGCTATTTTATCACAAAGTCCATCTAATAGCAGGGTTTTTTTTCTTAGTGAAAATGTCATCAACCTTTTCATATGCCAGAGGATGTAACAATAAATAATTCAACACACTCCTAGTAAAAAGTCTCAGAGAAAGCCTGTGGGATAACTCACACTTGCTTACATGCACATGCAAGCACAGTCTTTCCATTCTGGTGTACCTGGATCTAAGACTGAAGCCAACAGCTGTAGAGAAGGCAGAAACACAGCTGGAGAATCGATTTCCTTAGTTCAGACCCTTGGTACCAGCATTGGCAATAGGGCTTTCAGTTAAGGGTGGGGGTTTCTTAGAGAATTAGTTTTCTTCCTTCTCAATGAAACCACATTTTATTTTGCTTGAGCTGTAGTGTTTTCTCTCCCTGGTTGATGTTTAATTTCAACATTTGTCAAGCTTGTTTAGGATAAAAAGTAAGTCTATTATCTGTAGACTCCATGGTAATAAGCCCTAAGAAGGGAATTACATTATGAAACAGACAGTTGAATTAACTGCTCACTTTTCTTCTTCTAAGCAATTTAAGGGGATGTAGAACACATTTGCTCACACTTGCCTGCTGACACTTTCCCAGCGGCACAGTGAAGGGTTGTGGGGATGAGTGAGTGGCCACCATCTGGGAAGCCTGTTAATGGTTCACAGCAGGGTGACATGGTTCTCCTGTCTCCTGTCAGTGGTTCATGGTAGGATGATGTGGTAGGGTGACATGGGTCTCCTGTCTCCTGTCAGGCTCTGATGACATTCTTCAATAAAGTGATCGCCAATGAATCAAAGAACCGCATGAGCCTGTGGAATATTTCTACGGTGATGGCGCCAAACCTGTTCTTCAGTAGGAGCAAGCACTCTGACTATGAAGAACTGCTGCTAGCCAACACCGCAGCCCACATCATCCGCCTGATGCTGAAGTACCAGAAAATCCTGTGGAAGGTGAGTGACAGCTCTATATGGCTGTCAAGTGTCCCTAGGAAATATGCCAGTCGCAGGGAGTTGTAAATGCCCCGGGAGCAAGAAACTCTTGGAGACAAAAGGAGAAGAAAATAATCCATGGCTGCTTGTGGTGTACTTGCACCACCAGCCTTCCCCAGCCATGGGTTATTCAGCTCTGGAATTAACCAACCGTAACTCCAACTATCTTCCCAAACTTTTGTATCTATACTGAACAGTGGTGTCATTAGGCCCTAAATAAATACAACAAAACAGTGCCTTACACAGGATTTGCATTAGATTAAATACTGTGAATCATAGAAAGATGATTTGAGGATAGAAGGATTCATGGAGTTTATGTGCAAGCACTAGGCCATGGGTGAGCATCCAAGATTTCAGAACCTAAGGGCTTCCTGGAACCAACTCCCCTTGGAGAAAATAGGACATGCTTTAAACGTGTTCTACGTGTTCTAAGCATGTTTTCTCTACTAGCTGGAAATCCTCATCACTTTTCTAATCTCAAGGACAAATGTCACAGCTCCTGGCTCCAAGATAATGCGGAGTTAAAAGCAATTTCTATAAACAAACTATGAATCTACCAGGATGCTTTTGTTCAGGTGTTCCCCTCTAGTCAAGCCCCTTTCTCCTGCAGGTCCCTTCTTTCTTGATCACCCAAGTAAGAAGGATGAATGAAGCCACCATGCTGTTGAAGAAGCAACTCCCAAGTGTGAAGAAACTGCTCAGGAGGAAGACGCTGGAGCGGGAGGTGAGAGCATCAAAAGAGCCAAGAGTGGACCACAGCAGGCAGGGCCACGGGTGGACCACAGCAGGGCCAAGAGTGGACCACAGCAGGCAGGGGCACGGGTGGACAACAGTCGGGCCACGGGCGGACCACAGCAGGGCCAAAGGTGGGCCACAGCAGGGCCAAGAGTGGACCACAGCAGGCAGGGGCACGGGTGGACAACAGTCGGGCCACGGGCGGACCACAGCAGGGCCAAAGGTGGGCCACAGCAGGGCCAAGAGTGGACCACAGCAGGCAGGGGCACGGGTGGACAACAGTCGGGCCACGGGCGGACCACAGCAGGGCCAAAGGTGGGCCACAGCAGGGCCAAGAGTGGACCACAGCAGGCAGGGGCACGGGTGGACAACAGTCGGGCCACGGGCGGACCACAGCAGGGCCAAAGGTGGGCCACAGCAGGGCCAAGAGTGGACCACAGCAGGCAGGGGCACGGGTGGACAACAGTCGGGCCACGGGCGGACCACAGCAGGGCCAAAGGTGGGCCACAGCAGGGCCAAGAGTGGACCACAGCAGGCAGGGGCACGGGTGGACAACAGTCGGGCCACGGGCGGACCACAGCAGGGCCAAAGGTGGGCCACAGCAGGGCCAAGAGTGGACCACAGCAGGCAGGGGCACGGGTGGACAACAGTCGGGCCACGGGCGGACCACAGCAGGGCCAAAGGTGGGCCACAGCAGGGCCAAGAGTGGACCACAGCAGGCAGGGGCACGGGTGGACAACAGTCGGGCCACGGGCGGACCACAGCAGGGCCAAAGGTGGGCCACAGCAGGGCCAAGAGTGGACCACAGCAGGCAGGGGCACGGGTGGACAACAGTCGGGCCACGGGCGGACCACAGCAGGGCCAAAGGTGGGCCACAGCAGGGCCAAGAGTGGACCACAGCAGGCAGGGGCACGGGTGGACAACAGTCGGGCCACGGGCGGACCACAGCAGGGCCAAAGGTGGGCCACAGCAGGGCCAAGAGTGGACCACAGCAGGCAGGGGCACGGGTGGACAACAGTCGGGCCACGGGCGGACCACAGCAGGGCCAAAGGTGGGCCACAGCAGGGCCAAGAGTGGACCACAGCAGGCAGGGGCACGGGTGGACAACAGTCGGGCCACGGGCGGACCACAGCAGGGCCAAAGGTGGGCCACAGCAGGGCCAAGAGTGGACCACAGCAGGCAGGGGCACGGGTGGACAACAGTCGGGCCACGGGCGGACCACAGCAGGGCCAAAGGTGGGCCACAGCAGGGCCAAGAGTGGACCACAGCAGGCAGGGGCACGGGTGGACAACAGTCGGGCCACGGGCGGACCACAGCAGGGCCAAAGGTGGGCCACAGCAGGGCCAAGAGTGGACCACAGCAGGCAGGGGCACGGGTGGACAACAGTCGGGCCACGGGCGGACCACAGCAGGGCCAAAGGTGGGCCACAGCAGGGCCAAGAGTGGACCACAGCAGGCAGGGGCACGGGTGGACAACAGTCGGGCCACGGGCGGACCACAGCAGGGCCAAAGGTGGGCCACAGCAGGGCCAAGAGTGGACCACAGCAGGCAGGGGCACGGGTGGACAACAGTCGGGCCACGGGCGGACCACAGCAGGGCCAAAGGTGGGCCACAGCAGGGCCAAGAGTGGACCACAGCAGGCAGGGGCACGGGTGGACAACAGTCGGGCCACGGGCGGACCACAGCAGGGCCAAAGGTGGGCCACAGCAGGGCCAAGAGTGGACCACAGCAGGCAGGGGCACGGGTGGACAACAGTCGGGCCACGGGCGGACCACAGCAGGGCCAAAGGTGGGCCACAGCAGGGCCAAGAGTGGACCACAGCAGGCAGGGGCACGGGTGGACAACAGTCGGGCCACGGGCGGACCACAGCAGGGCCAAAGGTGGGCCACAGCAGGGCCAAGAGTGGACCACAGCAGGCAGGGGCACGGGTGGACAACAGTCGGGCCACGGGCGGACCACAGCAGGGCCAAAGGTGGGCCACAGCAGGGCCAAGAGTGGACCACAGCAGGCAGGGGCACGGGTGGACAACAGTCGGGCCACGGGCGGACCACAGCAGGGCCAAAGGTGGGCCACAGCAGGGCCAAGAGTGGACCACAGCAGGCAGGGGCACGGGTGGACAACAGTCGGGCCACGGGCGGACCACAGCAGGGCCAAAGGTGGGCCACAGCAGGGCCAAGAGTGGACCACAGCAGGCAGGGGCACGGGTGGACAACAGTCGGGCCACGGGCGGACCACAGCAGGGCCAAAGGTGGGCCACAGCAGGGCCAAGAGTGGACCACAGCAGGCAGGGGCACGGGTGGACAACAGTCGGGCCACGGGCGGACCACAGCAGGGCCAAAGGTGGGCCACAGCAGGGCCAAGAGTGGACCACAGCAGGCAGGGGCACGGGTGGACAACAGTCGGGCCACGGGCGGACCACAGCAGGGCCAAAGGTGGGCCACAGCAGGGCCAAGAGTGGACCACAGCAGGCAGGGGCACGGGTGGACAACAGTCGGGCCACGGGCGGACCACAGCAGGGCCAAAGGTGGGCCACAGCAGGGCCAAGAGTGGACCACAGCAGGCAGGGGCACGGGTGGACAACAGTCGGGCCACGGGCGGACCACAGCAGGGCCAAAGGTGGGCCACAGCAGGGCCAAGAGTGGACCACAGCAGGCAGGGGCACGGGTGGACAACAGTCGGGCCACGGGCGGACCACAGCAGGGCCAAAGGTGGGCCACAGCAGGGCCAAGAGTGGACCACAGCAGGCAGGGGCACGGGTGGACAACAGTCGGGCCACGGGCGGACCACAGCAGGGCCAAAGGTGGGCCACAGCAGGGCCAAGAGTGGACCACAGCAGGCAGGGGCACGGGTGGACAACAGTCGGGCCACGGGCGGACCACAGCAGGGCCAAAGGTGGGCCACAGCAGGGCCAAGAGTGGACCACAGCAGGCAGGGGCACGGGTGGACAACAGTCGGGCCACGGGCGGACCACAGCAGGGCCAAAGGTGGGCCACAGCAGGGCCAAGAGTGGACCACAGCAGGCAGGGGCACGGGTGGACAACAGTCGGGCCACGGGCGGACCACAGCAGGGCCAAAGGTGGGCCACAGCAGGGCCAAGAGTGGACCACAGCAGGCAGGGGCACGGGTGGACAACAGTCGGGCCACGGGCGGACCACAGCAGGGCCAAAGGTGGACCACAGCAGGGCCACGGGTGGACCACAGCAGGGCCAAGGGTAGACAACAGCAGGGCCAAGGGTGGACAACAGCAGGGCCAAGGGTGGACCACAGCAGGGCCATGACTGTCCACAGTCTAGGCTTTCTCTTCTCAAAGGAGGAATGAAGTTGTTAAAACACCACACAGATCTTGTGGGAAGTCTCCATAAACAGAGCACTAGGGTCTTTCTTTTATGTTGGGTTTCATGCATGGGGTTAAAGCTCTTGAAGATCTTTCGACCTTCTAGAATGGCGGAAATGACGCTCACAGAAGTTGAAGCAATTTGCCCTCCTAGTGATTTAAAGACAATCATGTTGTCATGGTTTAAATGTGAGGTGTCCCCCAGAGGCTCCTGTCTCAACACTTGGTTCTCAGCTGGTGGCTCTGTTTGGGAATGCGGTAGAACTTGTAGGAGGTGGAGCCTCACAGAGGTCGTGGGTCACCTGAGAGCTCATTGCCCAGTCCCACTTCCAGAACTAGCAGCACTTACGCAGAGCACGCGCACACACGCGCACACACACCAAAGCAATGGAGCCCTTCCCCCCTCCCCTCTAGCTTGTATGCAGTCATGTGCTCACCTCTGGATGTGCACATGGCCCTCTGAATCCCAGGAACATGTGAGTGCCAGCCTTTTCAGTTATGTAGTATTTCCCAACTGTTACCCATTGCAGTAGGTAACTATGCACGCAACAATTGCCTAAAAATGTTCACAACATTGTGCCCACAGCACTGACAAGTTCCCAGACAGGTAAAGTACTGGCAGGCCAATAGAGCCCCTGGGTAGGTCACAAGTAGTTGGAATTCTTGGTAAGTAAGGCTCATCCTTTTGTCCATATGTCCAGGATGCAGGCAGTGACAAACACCAGTAAGTAAATAAAAGGATGCAATACAAACATGGAAAGGCTATAGAATAAAATTTAGTCACCCTTGGAGAAAACAACACTGGGGGTAGGATGTGTGTCCATTGAAGCTCACAGGTGTGTCCACCCCAGGTGCTCTGTGCTTGTTTGGGTCACCTAGATGGGTGAACCCCACATGGCATCCCACTGGTTTCTCTTATGGCTTGAGTGTTAGTGAATGAACTAGTATATTATATGTCATTGTTTTCACAATTGAAATATGTTGATGAGGAATTGTGGGGTCAAAGGGCATATGCACTTTATAACTTGATAAGAGCCAAAATATTTTCCACAAGAATCACACCCGCCAAAAGCATCGTGTGTTTACATTCTCAGGGTTAATCTGAAAGAGGGAATGTGTTTTCTTTAGGTTTCCAGCCCCAAGACCTCGAAGGTAACACAGAAATCACCTTCAAGAAGAATGGTAAGAATGGATTTTCTTTCCAGCTAATAGTGCATGTGTGTGTGTGTGTGCCGGTGTGTGTGCACATGTGTGCGTATATGTAAGAGAGAGAATATGTGTGCATTCATGTGTATATAAGTGCGTAATGTATATGTGTGAGAGAGAATGTATGTGTGTATGCAAGTGTGTGTGTGTGGTGTCTGTGAGAGAATGTGTGTGCATGTGTGTGTGGCTGATGCTGGGAATGGAACACAGGGCACCATGTACATTAGGCAAGCATTCTGTCACCTTATTTGGAAATAAGCTCAAGAGTAGAATAATTAGTAAAGGTGAAGTCAAACCAAAATATCTTACTCCAGTGAGACCTGTGTCCTAAGGAGATGAGAACAGACACAGAACACACAGTGCAAACACCATTGGGAGACAATGGCAGAGACTAGAAAGGACACAGGAAGACAGTGGTGCAGACAGAGGGGACACACAGTAAGACACCACAGGAAGACAGTGGTGCAGACAGAGGGGACACACAGCATGACACCACAAGAAGACTGGGGGTTAATTCTTCAATATATTATTCAAGAAACCAGTTAACATAGTGTTCTAGGATATGCATAATGTCAGTTCACACACACACACACACACACACACACACACGTATTATGTGTTTAAATCTAAAGGTTTTTAGTATATTGTTCAATATAGGCACTGATAAACATCATTGGATATTTGTCAGAATCCACACTTGCTTCTCTACGATCCCAAAGCATTTGAGTGAGTCCTAAGTGCAAGGAGATTAGACTCCCAGGTCAGGTGTAGTCACTGGTCTTCTGGTAGAGCAGGAAGACCTTGCCCACTCTGGTTGAGCATTGGTCATGTGGATGAGTGCACTCCTCATTCTGAATGTCCCTGATTCTCACCTCTCCAGTACAGACATTGAACCCTAGTTTGACAGTGTTTTGCTCTCTCCTTGTTGACAGTCTGACGTGCCAGAAGGCGTCATAAGGGTCCACGCTCCACTTCTGTCCAAAGTGTCAATGGCCATTCAGCTCAACAGTCAGACCAAAGCCAAAGACATCCTGGCGAAATTTCAGTATGAGAACAGGTGAGTGCGACAGCCTGAAGGTGCGTGGGGAAGATGAACTTTAACAGGTGGGCCCTCCACGCCTGAAGCTGTGGCTTTTGAACAACTGCAGCTGTTACTTTGGGATTTGGCAAGTAGATTGCAAGGGTTCCAAGTTGAGGATGACATTATCGCCAACAGGCCAGCTTCTACAGTAGTTGGTACACATGGGATTCATTATTGAGATTTATTTTTATCTTTTATTCATGCGTGTATATATCTGCCACGTATGAAGGTGCCCACAGAGGCCCTGTTGGGTCTCTTGGGACTAGAGTTACAGGCAGTTGTGAGCCACTGGGAATTGAACTCCATTTACTGGAAGACATACAAGCCTTCTTAATGTCTGGGTCCTCTCTCCAGCCCCCATGATTCTTCTCTTGAAGAGTTATTTGATCAATGAATTTTATCTTTTATTGGGGTGAAAAATATGGCAGTCAGTTTTGTCAATATCTTGATCAATTTCCACAAGTATTATGTAAGCTTCCTGGACAGCATCACTGCCCCTTTGAAAGCCTCATGTAGGCTCCCTGGACACCATCACTGCTCCTTTGAAAGTCTGAGAGCTGTCATTGCCAGCATCTGCATGGCGCCCACAGCTCTCATGTATCTCCAAAAGTGACCATAAAAGAACATTAGACATCCTTACAGGAAGGCAGACTTGATGGAAACACCTTATATAACCTATGTTTTTCAAAGGACAAGAAGCCCTATTTAAATATATTAGTTGGGATGTAGGTGGGGTTTGATCATTTCTAGTGAAAATTGTGTACATCCTCAAGCTTTTGGAGGAAATTCAACAGTGGTAGCCTTGTTCGGCTGAGAGAGCTCTCAGCATACGTGCATTGCTTTATGATTTCATCCATGTAACAGCTCTGAAATGGCAGATGTTATAAATGGGGGGTAAATTAATGATTAAATTGGGGAAGACAGACATGCTTATAAAGGAGCAACATTAAGGATGCCTGTAGGGTTAGAACTCTTGACTGGGATGGGGGTGGGCTGACAGGTCTCTCTGGCAGTGTGTTGAACTTAATGAGCTGTGAGCCCAGCTGCCACTGTGTCTGAATATGCTGGGTAGATTTTGATATCCTGATTAGGGCATTATAGTAGTTTTGCAAAATGTTATCACTGGTGAAATGGGCACAAAGAATTTGTATTACCTTTACAGTTGTATGTAAGGCTGTAATGGTTCATGGAAATAGAAACAGCAGAAGCCAGAAGCAAGCTATGATGGTAGACATCAGGCTGTTTTTCATGTTTTGGGGGGTAGAAGGCATCAACTGTTATGTTCATTTTGCAAATCCTTCAAGTTGTAGGTTTGTGATTCATGAACTTTATATGTAGGAACACTCACGCATGCGCTCATGCGTGAACACACACACACACACACACACACACACACACACACACACACACACCATATGCACACTTAAAAAATTGCATTAAACTCCAGCTAATCAAGACATGCAAAGGAGAGAAGGCCAAAGGGAAGACGGTAGCTCCTGTCCCTGCCCTTGTAAAGAAACAGGAAGCCAAAAAGGTGGTGAATCCTCTTTTTGAGACCAGGCCTAAGAACTTCAGGATTGGACAGGACATCAATCCAAAAGAGATCTCACACACTTCATTAAATGGCTGGCCATATCAGGCCACAGCAGTAAAGGGCCACCTCTATAAGCAGCTCAAAATACCTCCAGGCCCTGGACTAGCACACAGCTACCCAGCCACTTGAGCTTGCCCACAGCTACAGGGCAGAGACAAAGCAGAAGAAGCAAAGGCTACTGGCCCACACCAAGAAGAAAGATGCTGGCAAAGGGAATTAAAAGGACCACCTGACCTTCAAGCAGGGGTCAATGCAGTCACCACCTTGATGATGAACAAGAAGGCTCATCTGGTGGTGACTGCCCACGACAGACACCCCATTGAGCTGGTGGTCCTCCTGCCTGTCCTGTGCCGCATCATTAAGGGGAAGGCAAGACTGAGGTGGCTGGTCCACAGGAAGACATGCACCACTGTCTGTTGCCCTCACAGAGGTTAATTCCAAAGACAAGGTTGCTCTGGCCAAGCACGTGGAAGCTGTTAGGACCAATCACAACAGATACGTTGAGATCCACTACCACTGGGGAGGCAATATCCTATGTCCTAAATCTGGGGCTTGCATTACCAAGCTGGAAAAGGCAAAGGGCAAAGAACTTGCCACTGAACTGGTTTACATGTACACTACTAAGTTTCTGTACATAAATATAATTTTAAAAATTATCTTCAAAAATTGGGTTAGAAAGGAAAAGAAGGGCAGACCAGCTAACAGGAGCTGGAATAGTCATGTAACTCTATTTCTGGCTCAGACATCTAAAATACCATAGTTATCATATGTAGGTAGTCATATAAAAAGTTGAAATCTTATTGCAAGGATGTTGGCATCTGGTAAACGACAAAATCCTCAATTGGACCTTTGTGAAAAGAAAATGCTCTGGTCTGGTAAGATGGCTTAGTGTGTTAAAGGTCTTTGCTGCCAAACTTGATGACCCGAGTTCGGTACCCAGGACACACATAGTAGGAAGAGCCCACAAGATGTTCTCTGACTCCCAGTCATGCACCATGGCACATACAGCCCTTCCACAAGTAAGTAAATGTAATCGTTTATAGAGACAATATTCCTAATAAAAATAAATTAGGGCCGGTGACTATAGAGAGACTCAAATCCTCTGACACAAGTTCAATAGCTGCCCAGCCTCTCACTTAGAACTGTGACTACCTCAGTCGAGAAGCTGTAATCTGTAGTGACGAAAGGGCTCAGCAGGTAATAGTGCTTGCCACCAGCCTGTCAGCCGGAATTCGGTCACCAGCAGACACATGGTGGAAAGAAAGAGCCAACCCCTTCATACACCTTCCATGGCACACATGAGCCCACACACATAATACACACACTGATAAATAAATGTTAAATAATTGCAAGTTGTAATAAAAGTTTCCCCTGTCGATTGCTAGATGCTCTTCTACCTGTCTATTCTTGGAGCAAATTTCTGGCAAAAAATACCAAAACATTACAATACCAAAGCTTTACAATAAATGATACTGTAATGACTGGATCACTATAAGCCAAGAAAAAAATTTAACCTAAGTCTCATAATTTAAAAATTAATTCAAAATGGAACATGAACTTAAATGTGTAATGAGAGATGTGAAAACTTTATTAAAATAGAAGGAGAAAAATCTCTATGACTGGACAAGTGAAGAGTTTCCTAGACTTTATCCCAGACGCATATGCGATAAAATTGGTAAGTTGGCCCTCATGGAAACTGAGGAGCTGTGAATAGGGTTAGAAGGCAGCTAAAATCAGACAACCAGGCACTGGCTACTCAGCAGCAAGGGCCAGTCAGTCAGTGCAGGTTCGAGCGGGAAAGGGCAGGAGTGAGTGTTTTACTCAAGGCACCTCTCTGTCACTGTGGCAAATATCTAAGAAGGCTTATAGACAGAAAATGATTCTTTTCGTTCCATTGTGGAGGTTCCATTCAAAATCAATTGATCCTCTTGCCTTTTGGCCTATGGCAAGGCCAAAAGTCCATCACAATGGAGTCATGTCACTGAGCAAAACTGCTCATCAACTGACCCTGAAGGGAAAAAGAGGAAGTGTCTGGGGTGGAACATTCTCCTCTGAGGGCATGTCTCCAGGGGTCTGAACTCTTTAACTGGGCACCACACCTCTTAGGGGTTTACATGCCTCACACATTTGGACCTTTGTGGGGTACTCCAACCCCAACAATAACAGAAACATATAGATGACATTTGACCAAAGGAAAAAGACAGATGAAAAGTACATGCATGGAAAGATTTGAGCATTAGCCACTAAAGAAGTGCATATTAAAACCACAGTGGCATATCATGGCATCCCCTTGGGGGTTCCAAAATAATGTACAGCAATGCCAAACACTGCAAAGACCCGAAGAAGCTTTGGTACTCACACATGGTTGGGTGGGCTGTATTTAATAGTTCATCAACCCCGGAATGTAGTTTCACAGATTGTTATGAAACTAAGTAACAATATGGCCTAGCGGCCAGACTCCTGGGCATTTATCCCCCACAAGTGAAGACATCGTCAACACACCCCAGAACAGCTTTGCTGAAACAAGGCCAGATAAACCCTAGAAACTTTTCAGTAAGTGACTAAACCATGCTGGATCCCAGGAAACTCTGTAGAACCGCAAAAGGAAAGGACTTGCTCAGGCCTCGAGGGATTCATGCCGAGTGGGACAAAAGCCAATACTGAGACCCCCTCACCGCGCTCTCCTGTTTGTGTTGTATTTGGGAAATAAGGAATGTATAGGAATACAGACTAAGTAATACTTATTTTCCGGGTGTGGGGGTCCAGGCTCAGGTGTAGTAAGGACAGGGTGGTAAAGGTGGCAGCAGTGGGCACCCTGGGTGACGGAAATGCAAGTTTTGCCTGAATCATTGCCAACATCCTCTCCGTGAAATTGCATCCCAGCTTCACAAGAAGCGCTGTTAGTGGAGACTCTGAAGGATGCAGAGGGTCCACGTGTGTCATTCTAAAGATGATATCCAAATCCACAGTGACTTCAAAGATTACTTCACACACACACACACACACACACACACACACACACACACACACACACACGCACACAAAACAACAACAACAAAACACAATAATAGGAAGAAGAACGGATGTGGGGCAGATGCCCTCCTCTCCTCGACAGAGCTGCAGGCTGTTCCTGAATCACCATGATTGACACCGACTTTTTGAATTCTCTCACCCCAACCTTCTAAACTTGGGATAGAAAAATTTGAATCGGGTGATTGCTTCACATCTGACTTCTTTTTATTGAATGGCAGACTTGGAAAGAAATCACCGTTAGGTAATTTCAGTGATTTTTAAAGGTGGTCTGTAGAGCGCTGAGAACCCTGAACTGTAACGGGGCTGAAGAGGGAACGCGTGCAAACTCAGCAAACACACAATTGAACCTGGTTTCTTTTGAATGGGGAGAAGTGTGGCCAGTGGCAGGTGCCTGTCTTCATCACCGCCCGCCTCTCCCCTGCAGTGCTGCCATTCCCAGCTAGAATGTTCTTGGGTGTGGTAGACCACTGAGCGTCCTGCTGGTTGGGAACTGTCTCAGCCTCTAGAGAGGCCGAGTTAGGTTCTTAGATTCTTGTTGCCGTTGTCATGATCATAATAAAGCGTGGGTCATATCCCCTCATAATGAAATGACGTGTCAGTATTCACCATGGGTCTGAAGGAACTCTCAACTGTTGCCTTCTCTGTGTTTTAGTCATAGTTCATCTGAATGCATTAAGATGCAGAACCAAAGGTTATATGAAGTCGGAGGAAACATAGGTAAGCACCTTCAGCCCCTGCTGTGCCCACATCCCACGATCCATTGCTATTGTGTAGGGGTGGGGTTTTTTCTTCTTTCTCACAAGTTTTCCGGATAAAAATTAGCAACTATCTGGGGGTTTTATAGTTCTACATAAAAGCAGTTTCATGATTTTTCGCCAATATTCTCAAAATTGAAGTGAGGTCAAGCCTTTGGGGCCTTTTCGGTGTGACTCTTAAAGTTAGAAACCACCTCTTGCTGGACTTACAAAGCCGAACAGAGCGGAGAACTTTGAGGAGCTTGGCTCCCTGTTCTGGCTCACACCCCATGGTTATTCTGTTTCCCGCTGCTCACAGATCAGAGGCGATCCTTGTGCCTTTGTCTGTGTCTGCTGTGGCTGGCATGTTCCTGCGTTCTCTCTCACTTCTCTGACCTCCTCAGGGATGTTCTTCGCTGCTCAATCAGGGTCTTGCTCTACCTGTGCCTCAGTTTCCCCCTGCACCATAACCTTGTCCCTCCCACCAGCATCTGTCCCACCTAAAATGGTTGTCAAAACACCAAGGAACCTTGGGATGGTGACACAGGCTGAAGAGGGAATACATTCAATTCTCACAACACAGAAATGAAGCCCGGCTTTTCTTAAATGGAGAGACATGCGGCCAGGGACAGGGTATTAAGCAGGCAGCCATGCCAACACCGCCACCTGCCTCACAGGTGCATAGCTATGTCAGCAATGTCAGCACTGCAGAAATTAGATCTCTGGAGGGTGGTGGGTTTTGGAGCACCTGGGGAAATACCATGAGCTTGTGTCTCAAATTTTAAAAAAAAGAAATATTTCTGTCCTCTTTAGAAAACTCCTGACACCTTTAAGTCCACTTGTATTTATTTGCTCCCTGTCACCACACACTTTCAGTCAGCTCTCTTTTACATTTCTCCTCCAAGTTTCTTCTCTCCGGAAACCACACTAGTCAAGTGTCTTCAACACCTCGCCAAAATCACCTTCTTGTCCAGGACACCAGAGGTCGCACTCTGAAATGCAGTCACTGGTTTTGGCATAGTAACTGCCTGACTTGAGCTCTTTCTATTTTGCTGCTGGGGACAGCATGAGTTTCTGGGCTTCCTCCTGCTTCTTTGAGTCTCTGTTACTCCTTGGCTCTCGGGGGTGAAGTCCTTGGAAGTCTCGGTCTGAGCACACACCTTCCTAGGTGAACGCAGTTGTCTCATCGCTTTCAATCCACCTGCCTGCTAGTGTTTCTCAGACTGGACCCTGCATTTGTACACCCAGTCACCTGGCACACTGCTCGGCGTTTCTCATTGGCTGACTTCGAGGTTCTCTCGTCTCCCACTGGACTCACCATGCCCTTGCCGATAAGCCACCTTCTTGGTGATGTCTTCCTGCACCGTGTGCCCTCTCTCTTTTGTTATCTCCTGTCATTAAGACCTACTCTATAATGCGCACATTGGCTTACTCTCTAAATACCCCCAGGAGAAGTTTTTGAGACTGGATCAGTGTCTGTTACTTCCACAGGAAGCAACAAAATGTGCATTCTCCTTTTCCCTTTTTAAATTTTTTTTGAGATTTTAATTACATTATTTCCTCATCCCTTTCCTCTCTCTAAACCCTTTCATAGCACTTCTGCTTGCTCTTTTTCAAATACATGGCCTCCTTTTTTCACTAATTATTGTTACATGAACACACACACACACACACACACACACACACACACACACATATATATCCTGCTTAGCCTGCATACTGTTACTTGTGTGTATATTTTCGGGGCTGTCCATTAGGTGTTGGTTATCCAGTTAATATGATCTTCCCTGGGGAAGATGACTCCTGTCAGTATCAGCATCCCTTAGCTGCCTGTAGTTGTGTAGGGTTGAGGCATTGTGGTCTTTCCCCCGTGAACTTTACCTATCTACTATCTACATTGTTGTCTTTGTTCAGCTCAGGTTTAGGCAGTCAAGTTGGTGAGACTTTATGGATGTAGCTTCTGACGTTACTAGGAGACACAGTCTCATATGAGACTCCATGATCCTCTGGTTCTTATAATCTTTCTGCCCTGTCTTCCACACTATTCCCTGAGCCTTAGGTGTGGAAGTTGTTTTGTTTTTGATATATCCACTGGGGCTGGGCTCTACAACTCTGCATTTTGATTGGCTGATGTTTTCTGTAATGGGCTCTATCTGTTGCAAAGAGAAATTTCCTTGACAAGGGGTAAGGACTACACTCCCCTGTGGACAGAAGAATAAATATTGAATGAAGTTGAGGATTATTACGGTTTAGTAAAATGGTGGCTGTAGCTTCTCCTTCATGATCCATGATCTAACTAGTTGTAGGAAGTTGGCTAGGTTTCCAGTACCAGAAATGACTTGCCCCTCGCTGGGCAGGGGGCTCTGGGCTATGGCTAAGAAACCTGAGGGTTGTCACGCCATGCCAGTCGTTGTTTGTGGTCATCACTGGTGTTTTGATTTTTGGTGTTGTTGTTGTATTCCAGTGCTTATTCTGTGTTTTAATAAGTATGGCTTCCTAGTTCTTTCTGCACTATCCCTACTATACTTATTCCTCTCTATGCCTATAAGTCAAGGGTTTGGGTTTTTTTTCATGATGTCACACAGTTCCTGTGTGTTCTTTTCCTGTATTTTTGTTTTTTTTTTTTTTTCATATCCCTTGCTTATTTGCTGTAGACCCTTTATCCCGGATTACAAGAGCACACTACCACACCTGGCTTTCTTTCTTTCTTTCTTTCTTTCTTTCTTTCTTTCTTCCTTTCTCTTTCTTTCTTTGTAAATGGAGTCCTTAATTGGTCTAGGTAATAAAAGACCAGAGTCAGCTATAGAGGGAAATGCTGAGAGATCAGAGAGAAGGAGCAAGTCACAACACACCTTACCTCCTAAGCATCTCCACAGAGAACTATTTCCTGTTTCTCCCTGCTTATATCCTGCTACTGCCCAGCTACCTCACTTCCTGTCTGTCTGTACAGACCTCCAGACCTCTATGGTTAGCTAGTGGCAAGCTCCATTCTAACCCCCAGATAGGCTTTATTTGTGTAAGAAAGAGATCACCACCTTTCTTTCTTCCTTCCTTTATTTCTTTCTTTCTTTCTTTCTTTCTTTCTTTCTTTCTATTTCTTCCTTCTTCTCATTCTTTCTTTCTTTCTATGTAGACTCATGTCCTCGTGCTTACAAGGCAACCGTGTTACCAGCTTGAGCTTTTTGATTTTCTCTTTCTTTTAGGACAGCACTGTTTGGATCCCGATGCATATATATTGGATGTGTATCACGTAAATCCCCATGCAGAATGGGTGATTAAGCACTAGACAAGTCTCTAAGATATGCCCAAGATGGCACTTGCCTTGTATTATATGCCAAGAAGATCCTGTATTTGTGGGAAAAATGACAGTGCCCTGAGGCATTTGCTCCCGTAATCCGGTTCTCCTGGATGGGCAGTACCACCAGCTCTGTCAGTGTGAACTACAGAGGACGAGCTGGTTCACACTGAGCTGAACTTTATCACAGTTCCTCGGTAAGAAGGTGTGACCCTGAAGTAAGGCCGACGTTACTCACTGTGGAGCTGTGGAGCAGAAATAGACTTGGCCCTGTGCCTGGGAACAGGCAGTGCTTCTGATGTGAAACATACAATATTTATGCTCTGACTGCTCCCAGATTGGAGGGACCTTCAGTGTAAAGACAGCTGTGCACTGTGTATCACGCTCTAAGAGGACTGGGCGGCACCCTGGCACCAAGGAGCTGCCCGCATCCATTTAGTGTTGAGGTGGTATTTCATGGTCCCTTGTCTCATGACCACAGGTCCACATTGCAAATCCCAGTTTGGCAAAGGGCGTCCTGTGCTTCCAGAGTTTCCTTTGTGGTCCGTAGTCATGGCATCTCTTCTCACAGTTGTGGTGCTCAGTGAATAAACGGCCTTTTCTGTGGCAGCATGGAAGTCCTTTGCAGATCAGACACTTTTCTCTTTTTATCCACTTCCGCAGCCTCCACTCAGAAGATACAGAAATGCATTTACCCCTAAGTGCTGAAAATGCCACTAGACCCAGAGTTGATAAGTTGCAAGTGTGCATTGTGCTTTTTTGATCTGTTATTAACCAGATGTGGTTAAGCCCTGTGGACTGGCCCTGGGCTTTGCAAGCTGGAGACCACCTCACTGTCCACATCTTGCAGGACTCTTGTCTAGATCTGCAGTGGGGAACATTCAGTCCTCGTGTTTCTAACAGAAACACATCTAAAATGAACCGAGGGACAGGACAGCTCTGCCTTGCAGAGACTGCGGATGAAGTCCCCATTTATCCCAGGTGTGCTTCATCTTCTACAGACCAAGAGCTGGATGGATTTACCAGCAGTTTATGACATTTAAGACCCACGTGCCAGTACAAGCAAAATTGAATTGCAAATTCAAAAGAACTGTTTCCTTCCCTGCATAGCCCATGTCCAGCGGTAAAGTGAGGGCACTGTAAATACAAGTGCAGAAGAGACCACGAGTGCAGTGTTATGCCTGATGCTGGACAAACCGTCCTTGACTCCCAACAGTCAGAGCATCTTGCTGTAGAAGCAAAGCCACCTACCTACACATTCAACATGAGGACCATTTTATTTCATGTCACCAGTTGGCAATACTTTTCTAGAAACACGAAAATTGGTTTGTTTGATCTATTAATGAATCTCTATTTCCTTTCTCTGAAAAGCCAAATATGCACTGCAGAGGTCTGTGTGAGCCCCAGTGGGCCTATGAGTGTGCGCATTGAGCACGTCATCATTTTGTATTGCAAGCAGTGAGCGAGCATAACCCTCTGCAGAGCTGCCAGATTCCAGGGTATCCCTGGAGGAATCCCTGCCTACGAATGGAAGCCATCCTTCTGGGGCACAGCCATGTTTCTGTAAATATGTGAACATGTTCCTGTGTTTCTTTGCATTAGGGGCGTCCAGTTCCAATGTGTTTATATAGAAATTGCACAGATCCATTCATTTGTTTTTCTTTTCCAGAGTTCTCATTTCATTTGACTGAAAACACACTTGAATCCATGTGTTAGCGTTAGTCACTAGTCTCCAACCAGCAGCTGGTACACGGCAGGTGACGCACAGCAAGGCTCTGCATTTTGTACCCACTGTCGAGTGGCTTCAGATGCCAAGTCTAGGCTGAATCAGTAACTTGAAGTTAATCGTTTCATTTTATTCAGGAGCATGACAACTTCCAAATGTCTGTATTGTACAGAGGGCAATGTCAACATTGAGATCAACATTGGCCATAATTCCCAGTCACACAGTGAAGTGACTAGAGAAGCTTTAGTAGACGTGCAAACTAATGTCTGTGTGCTCAAGGAGCTTCTTTTACTGATTTTATTCTGGAAGAATAAAAACCTTCAGTTAAGTTTAAAATGCCTGTCATCTAATATTGAAAGAACTTTGGCCTTATTGAGAGAGTCAGTTTTCAAAAGTTTAGTAGCCAACCTGTTAGAATAAATGGGGTGTTTGCTGACAAAGGAGATGACAGCCACATGGCGAGTAAGTGACGTTCTTAACTTGCTTCTCACCCTCACTCATCAAGTGCTCCTGATACACAAGTAGGAAAACAGTATCATTCTGGAACGTAGTAAATGACATGACCTGTAGGAACACACATTCAAGAAGATTCCTACAGGCGCCTGGTTTCCCCACCATTCTTCCTAAGAGTGCCTCTCTGCTATGCAGCTCAGCTGGGAGATGATCCTTCCAGCCAGTGGTCCTTTGACGAACTGGAATACGGATTCCCTATAATGTGTGTGTACAGTGTAAACTACCTCACCAGCCTTCCTTGGGAAAAAAATGTCAAACGGACTTTAGCATCTTCTTTTGGTTTGACTGTCCCTGGGTCTTTCTCAAGTTACTGCAATTTCTTTTGGTGTATGTTTTGCTAATACGCCATTCATAAGACATAAACTAGTCTTAGCAAAAGCATTAAAACAAAACACCCTGGAAGTGTGCCCTGTGGTGTGCTCTGGGGGAGTCCTCATGTGTCCCTTAGTGGTTGCCTTGTGTTTCTAACCATGTGGGGACACAGGCTGTCGGGAACTAGTGTTTGTCTTTTCTAGTGGGTGTTCCCACTACTGTCCCTATATTTCCTTTGACTGAAAAGGAGATGGGAGGTCCCTCTCCTGAGCAAATGTGTGTTAACTCTTCATGTGTGTGTCTGACTTGCCTGAGAAGACTGTAAATCGGGGGATATAACACTCCCCTTGACAGGCATTTTCAACTATTTTCCATAAATATGTCACTTAATAAAGAGTAATGTGACATGGGACTCACGAGTTTCTTTCACATGACACTTTTACACGCTCTAATCTCATTTGAAAATGCCATCTTTTGAGCACTTCCTTTCTACTAAAACTGTGTAATTTAGTTAGGGAAAATCATTTATTCATGGAAATGCCAGTATTGTGAGTCTTCTCCTCAAAGTTAAAATATTGAGTCTTTTGTTCCATCAGCTCTCATTAAATAGGATGTGGGCATTGACTTTTATTCATAAAAATAAAGAGAAAAACTAATTTCCTATGACAAGACTTCTTACATCCCCATGCACAGTGGTGTTGGTAGAGCAGGAGTCTGAAGACTGTGCCTGTGCCCAGCCCTGCCAGGCTCCTGCCATCTAGTGAAGGATGACCGGGGAGGGAGATGAGTGGAATAACACCAGCTACCTCAAACCTTTACTTGTGTTAGTTCTTGCATAGGCAGGATTTTAGTTACATATAATAAGATATCTTTCACACGTGTGTGAAACTTTCCATAAATATGAAAATATGGTGGGAAATTACCAATACGGAACCAAGTAGAAATATAAGGGTATTTAAGAGGGAAAAGCCTTACTTACAGAGTGACCTAGTGAAGCAGCAATCTGTACAGCAAACCGAAAGTGAAACTGAAAGCGAAACCCAGCCACCTGAAACACATCACCCTAAGTAGGTGTGGCTACAGCTTCCCCTATGGTTCTCTCTTTACAAAAAAAATCAACCTTCTACTGTATAGCAAAAGGCAAAAGCAATAAAAGTAAAAAAGAGGAGTGGGGGGGGGGGGTTCAGTGATTAAAACGCCTGCTGTGCCAGCATGTGGGCCTGAGTGTGTAACCCCAGCAACCTTGAGCAAAGCTGGCACAGCGCCACACACACACACACACACACACACACACACCACACACACACCACACACACATCACAGACAGACAGACAGACAGACACACACAGACACACACACACCACACACACCACACACACACCCAACGTCAAGGGAGACAAGGGTTCAGAGATGGAAGGTACAGATCAACTGAGCACATTCCAGATTCAGAGAGGAAAATACATCTGTAGGTCTTATTTGACAATGGACTCCAGAAGCATAAAGAATCCAGCAATTGGCTGGCAAAACTGCTCAGTGAGTAAAGGAGCCTGCTCCCAAACCTGAAGGAGATAACCCCCACTCACAAGTTGTCCTCTGACCTCCACAAGTGCATGATGGCACCACACACACACACACACACACACACACACACACACACACACACACACACCACACACCACACACACCACACATACATCACAGACACACATGCCATACACCACAGATACATATACCACACACACACACATCACAGACACACACATCACAGACACACACACACACACACACACACCACATACATCACAGAAGCACACACACCACAGATACACATACCACATACACACATAGCACAGACACACCACACACACACACACATGCACCACACATACACACCACACTCACACACACCACACACACATCACAGACACACACACCACACACACACATACCACTGACACAAACAGCATAGACACACCACACACGCGCACACACACACACACCACACACACACCACGGACACACACACACACACCAAAGACACACACCACACACACATCACATATACACACACACTCCACACTCAGAGACACAAAGTTTATGAAAAGTAACACAAACAAATCCAAGTCCCCCTCATCAAAACTCCAATGACTTTTTCCACAAAAATAGAAAAACAATTCTAAAATTCCCAGACAGACTTCACATAGCCGAAGCAATCTTTGTGCAGAATGAGCAATGCTGACAGTACTGCAAAACCAATTTCAAACCGTGTGATGGAACCCAAGTTAAATAAATAAATAAATACATCAAACATGGCACTGGCACCAAAACAGACACACGGAGCTGGAGGATGTACTAGAAGACCCAGAAATAAATCCACACAGCAATAGCTGCCTGAGTTTCAACACAGATACCAAAAATGGACCTTGGAGACAAGATGACTTCTCCAACAAAGAATGTGGAGAAACTTGGACTTCCACCTGTAGAGAAATGAAAATATGTCCTTATCTCTCATCTTGTTTTTAACAAAAAAAAAAATGAACTAAAAATGGACCAAAGACCTTGTGTGTGGCATGAACCTGTGAAAACACTGGGGCTAAACGTAAGTAAATCTTCAAATATATGCAGACGAGGAGTTCTGGAAAGAACAACAGTAGCTCGGGAAACCAGAAGTAGGATGACATCAAGTCAAAACCTCCCCACAATGCACAGCACTCAGAGGACTGAAGAGACGGTCTGCAGAGTGTCAGATCTTTGCTGTGTAGTCCCCGACAGGATTAGTTGATAATATGTAAGGAATTCAAAAAATCAACAAGCAAACATCTCAGTGAATAAAAGGGCAAAGGAATTGAGCAGACACTTCAAATGATGAGGTACATATGGTCAGTATATTAGTTACTTTGCTATTGTTGTGATAAAACTTCACCACCAAGGCGATTTATGAAAGGAAGTATTACTCGGGTGTCTGGTTCCAGAGGGTCAGTGTCCATGGTGGCAGACAGGAGCACCTGAGAGCTTCCGTATCAAACACAAGCAGGAGTAGAAAGAACACTGGGGATGTCAGCAATGTTTGGAAACCTCCAAGTCCCCCAATCCCAGGGATTCAACTCCCCCAAGAGGGCTGCATCTCCTAATCCTCCCCTACAGTCCACCCTTGGACATACGAGCCCATGGTGCGGGGTAGGGGGGAAAAAACAGTATATCATTCAAATCACTGCAGCCAGTCTCCCCCAAAGTGTTCACAAAGTATTCAGTGACCTTATCCATTAGGAAACTGCAAACAAACAGAGCATTCAGGTGACTGTCTCACCCTGGTCAGAACAACTACAGCAAAGAAAGCAAACCAGCTCTGGTGAGGGAGAGCCAGGGAAGATGCCCCTCTGTGTTTTGGGGTGGGGGGATCAGTTAGTCCAGCACCGTGGACGTCAGTTTTCCATATGATCCAACCATTCCACTTCCTGGGTTTGTGCCTGGAAGAACTGAAGTCAAATGGAGATGCCTGCACAGCCACGTTTATCCCTGCACTATTCAGATGAGCCAAGTCAGAGTCAGCCTGGGTATCCAGTGGCAGGAGAAAGAATAAAATGTGGTTCCTATATGTGATGGCATTTAATTCTGTCACAAGAACAAGTCTGTCATTTGCAGCAAAATGGATAGGACTGGAGATGGTTCTATGTGGCCAGTCCCACAAACACAAACACAGGCATCATATGCTTTTCCCTAGAGTGACCTGAGTCTAAAGGATGGACGAGTGGACTAGCAGGAGGTGGATATAGCCAAAGCAGGGTGAATCTGATCAAAACACGCTGTGAGCATGCACAGCGTGTCTAATGAACCCCGACAGTTAATATATGCAACAACGGATTCTTAAAATCACATCTCACCTTTGAAAGAAGATACACAAGTTGTCAAAAAAAAACATGAAAAAAATGTAACACGGTGAGTCATTATGGAGAGGAAAATTACACAAGAAACGTTGCTGCTCCTGCATTGAGACAGCCCAAACTAAAGGTCGCTGGTGATGAGAGGGGGAACCGGAGCTCCAGGCATTATTAGAAGCCTCAGAGGGTACCGCGTTCTGGGGACGCATGCCACATTCAACACTCAGTGGTCTTCACGTAAGGTTAAGATCTATGCATTTTCTTACAGGGAAAGTTTCCTCTGGTGGAGGTGGACACTGCAATAACATATTCAACCAGAGGAGATAGCCTGTGTGCTGAGATACTTAGGGGAAAGTGTACTGGTGTTTGCAAGTTTATTTTTTCACAATGTATTTTAAAAGTTGTCTGATAGATGTGATAGAAGAAAAATAAACAGGTGGGCACCAGCCCAAACATGCAAAGGTAATGAATTTCAGGAGAATGCCCTTAGCAGACTTTTCCCTTTTTAGAACCCCCACACTTGGCATGTTCGAAACGATTTTTGTATCTCTAGGCCAAAAGTCCATTCCAATCACATTGAAAACCCACCTACTATTATAGCTACTTTATGTTTTTAGTGCAAGTCTATCCTTGGAATCCCCTGGAGGCCTCTCATCATTCACTGTTCACTGGTAACTCTAGGTTAAGATTTGCCACCGCAGCTACAGTAGCCAGGCAAGAACAGGGACACGCTGGATTTATTTGGAACCTTTCCTTTGCTTCATTTCCAATTGACACAGAAATGCTTAAATTCATGTGCAGCCATGTGCATGTACATTGTGTGGTGTTAAGAATAATTAATGTATTCATAACACAAAACAAGAATTTCTTTGGCTTAAGGACATTTTACTCAATTCCAGCTATTTTGAAATCTGTGTCCTTAACTTAATTCCTCCTAATCCTACCTTAGTTCCTATAGACAAGCCCCAGAACTCCTTCTCCCTTGCTTTCTAGGCCTGTTGGTAGCCACAACTCTCTTCTAGAGTTCTGAGATCAGCCTCTCACATTTTAGAGGCAGTTGCGATCCTGGTCCTTAGACACCAGCTTTACCTTCAACAGCTGTCTCTCTTAACGATGTTGTGCTTTCCAGAACATGTCACTAGAGGGCAGCAGAGGATGTTGATTCGAAGCCTAGGCAACATCGAAGTTGATTTTCCGGGCCACCTGGTGGAATCCCAGGCCCACTAGAGAAAGCAGTAGCTCTTCCGGCACTCCTTACCTTCAGTGCAACATGCCCACCCTCTTTGCCCAGGACAGGGCAGGGGTACAGAGACCGCCAGTTCAGAAAAAGTCAGGCTAGTGGAAGTCCGGGCTAGACGTAGAATCCCTGTCTTGAAAAACAAAACAAAACAAACAAAAAAAGCCAAGCTACAGCGGAATAAGCTTCTGTGTATTTGGGAGCCAAAAGAGTAAATAACATTTCACACAACGAAAGAGTGTGTCTTCTAGATCAAGGGGAAAAGTCACTTCTAATGAGGGAAGGGTGATGTCAGTG